CGCCAGGGAAGCCGGCCACACCAGCTGTCATTGTCCCAGCGAATGGAACCCCAGCCACGCCTGGAACGGCTCACCGCCCTTGAGAGAAATGGGGGGAGAGGAGGCCCCGCAGCCAGGGCTTGCGGGGGTCACAAATGCACCGGGGTCTGAAGGCCCAAGCTCTACGCCTTTCCCCCATCTGCCTCCAGAGCTCCTCCAGGAGTTTCCTCCCCACGTCCCCTCTGCTCCAGTTCTGGAATGGACAGTGGTATTGTCAAAGGCGTGGCGGCTCACTCCTGGAACCCTAGCCATGTTGGAGGTTCAGATCTGGAGGACCAAGGTTTAAGGCCAGCCCAGGCTGAAAAGGTCACGAGAGCCCTTCTCAACCAAGAAGCTGGGTACAGCGGCACATGCTTGTCATCTTAACTTTCAGGAGGCCAAGATCAGGATCGGGGATGGAGCCAGTCCAGCCTAGGCAGAAAAGTCTGGAAGACTGCATCTTCACTGAAGAACTGGGGTGTGATGGCACACACCTGTGACCCAGCGATGACAAAAAACTTAAAGCAGAGGAGTCATGACTCACGTATAAGGAGGTGAGACTCTATTCTAAAAATTACCAGTGGGGGCTGGGAAGTTGGCTCAGTGGTAGAGCGCTTGCCTTGCATGCCTGAGGCCCTGGGTTCGATTCCTCAGCACCACATAAGCAAAAAGAAAAAAGCCGGAAGTGGCGTTGTGGCTCAAGTGGTAGAGCGCTAGCCTTGAGCTGAAGAGCCGAGGGACAGTGCCCAAGCCCAGAGTTCAGGCCCCACAACTGGACCCAAAAATAAATAAATAAATAAAAATTACCAGTGAAAAATAGAGCTGGTGGTCTGGCTCAGCAGTTTAGGACCAGCTGAGCAAGCACAAGATCCTGAGTTCAAACTCCAGTAAATACAACCTTCCAGCACACTCCTCGAGGCACAAAAACCCTTCCACACAATGACACCAGAGGTAGTCATGACGGCTCCAAAGTACCTGAGCATCCATCAATGAATGGAGTGACAGAACGTGTCCCAGCCACCTGGTGGAATATTATTCAGCCATGAAAAGGAGCAAGGGACTGACACACACCGCAGCACAGATGAACCTTGAAAACATGATACAAAGCTAGGGAAGCCAGGCACGAAAGGCCTTGCTCAGACAGTGTGATTTCATTGGCATGAACTTTCTAGAACCAGCAAAGCCGTAGAAGACAGAAGCAGGTCTGTGGTAGCCAGGGCTCGGGGAAGGGGTGCAGAATTTCTTTTTGGGGTGGGAGAAATGCTGTGGGGTTGGTGGCGACGGCTTTATAGTATGTGATGTACTCAATGCCACTCAATGTGCGGCCTAAGGTGTTAGAATGGTGAGTTTTCCTGTTGTGTGACTTTTGCCTCAGCTAAGAAAAAGGAGAAGCAGGTGGCTGTCACCTCCTTCCCGGGCCGGGTAATGAAGAAGACTTCCCTCCTGGCCACTACATGAGCTGGAGCTAGACAGGGGCCATCCTCTGGCTCAGGAAGAGGCCGAGAAGGTGCCAGGATTCACCTTGATTTTGCATAAATGAATATGCATTAGGGATACCTCCCACTGCGCAGGAAATGCAAAGTCCCCCCCACACACACCAGCCTGATTAAGTGCAATCAGGCCTGGCTTCCTAGGAGCTGGCCACCAGCAGGGGAGGGCGGGGCTCCAGCACACTGCTGGCGGGCTTGCACCTGCTTACAGTCAGGCCTGGGAGGCAGCATGCAGGCCTCAGCCGGAGGTCAGAGGCCCCGCCCCAGGCCAGAGCCTGCATTTTCCCCTCAGCCCCCTCCCTCACTAGCGGTCTTGTGGAAACGTGTGTGCGGACTTCCAAATCATGGGGCTTGGCCCCAGCCCCGTGCTCCCAGGACTCCCTGTGGCAGGCTCTGTGCGTCCCGTAACGTGAGTCACGAGGAAGTGAGCAGGATGGCGTGGCTCTGAGAGCCTCGGCTTAGCTGTCACTCTGGGAGGGACCAGCCCCCAGCGAGCAGGGGAGGGGGAGGCGGCCCCTCCAGACTCTGCCCACGCCCTCAGCTGTTATCAGCTACCGGCCTTATTTCACCGTCTGTGCACTCACTTCTGCGTACCAACCACATATAATTACGGTGCCCTTGGGGTTGGTTTTGGTAACGTGTCAATACTGGGGCTTGAACTCAGCACCTGGGCTCTGTCCCTGAGCTTTTTCCACTCACAGCTGGCACTCCACCAATTGAGCCACAGCTCCATTTCCAGCTCTTTGCTAGTTCATTGGAGAGAAGAGTGCCCAGGCTGGCTTTGAACTGCCATCCTCAGATCAGGCTCCCCAGTAGTTAGGATTACCGGTGTGAGCCATCTCTACCCAACTCTACATATGTGTGTTTTCAACGCGAAAGAAGACTGGACTGGAGCCCCAATAGCTAGGAACCCTCCAGGCACGTGTCCAATTTCAGCACCAAGAACAGTGGCCACTGACATCATGGCGCCCTCTGGTGGACCCTCTGAGGAGGAGTAGGCTGTGAAGTGGGGTGGGCTGGGCCCCTTTAGGCTGCCCGCCCCCCTTTAGGGGGGAAAGGGTGAGGAGAGGAGAGGAACGGAGCAAGAGCAAAAGCCAGAGTCCACCCTGCGCATGTCACCTGTCAGACACACTGGATGATTGCCCTAGCGTTGAACATCTCCAATGCCAGTAGTGACCTTTGGTGGTACTAGGGTTTGAACTCAGGCCTTGAGCTTGTTTAGGCAGAAGCTCTACATTTAAGCTATGCGCTAACCCTTTTTGCTTTCATAATTTTTCACACAGAATCTCATCTTTTTATGCCTCTTAGCAGTCTAGACAAGGATTCTCCCAGGTAGCAAGGATGACCCATATTGTCACATCCAGCTTTTATTGGTTGAGATGGAATGGGCCTATGCTGACTTTAAATCACAATCCTCAAGTCTCAGTCTCCTGAGTAGCTAAGATTACAGGTGTGAGCCATGGGCACCCAGATTCTTCTGTGGCTTTTCTTTTTCCATGAAGCTTGAACTCAGGGCCTGGGTGCTGTCCCTGAGCTGTTGTGCTCAAGGCAAGTGCTCTACCATTGAGCCACAGTGACCACTTCCTGTTTTCTAATAGTTGACTGGAGATAAGAGTCTCAGAGACTTTCCAGGCCAGCTGGCTTTGAACTGTGATCCGAAGATCTCAGCCTCCTGAGTAACTAGGTCTACAGACGTGAGTCACAAGAGCCCAGTGTTGCTGTGACTTTTTAAAGTCAACTGAAAGCCAGTGAAACTTGAGGGTGTAGTTAGATTTCTCTCCATGAACACCAACAAATAGATGGTAGGACAAGTGGTGCTCTGCTTCCTGTCTTCGGCCAATCTAACCAGGACTCGAGGCCAGAGACTCAATCTCAGAGCACCAACAGGTCAGGTCAAGCCACTGGCCCCAATGAAAGCAAACCAAAGACATAGTTAAAAAAAAAAAAAAATGGGGAGGGGCTGGGAAGGTGGCTCAGTGGTAGAACGCTTGCCTTGCATGCATGAGGCCCTGGGTTCGATTCCTCAGCACCACATAAGCAAAAAGAAAAAAGCCGGAAGTGGCGCTGTGGCTCAAGTGGTAGAGCGCTAGCCTTGAGCTGAAGAGCTGAGGGACAGCGCCCAGGCCCAGAGTTCAAGCCCCACGATCGGACCCAAAAAAAGAAAAAAAATGGGGAAAGATTTCTATCAACATAGACACATGACAATGAAGAATGAGAATTAAGCATCTCAGTCCATCTCTGGGGCAACTGACAAGAGCTCTAGGTTTAAATAGAAGAAGAATTGGGGGAGGGGGTGATTAATAAGGGCATAATTAAACAGCCTGGTCAAACTAAAGTCTGCCTGAACACTATCTCAGTTCTGTTTCTGCAAAGTGGCCTGAAGATATCCTTGCTGCTCTAGGAACAATCTGCTTCCTTTACAGTGATTGGTCCTGTTTGTGGGGTGGGGCTGAAATCTCATCCTGGGGTGATGGGTCTTGATTCAAGGCTGCTGGGGCAGGACAATGGCTGGAGCCTCTCGGGTGTCTTTTTGAGGGGCCCGAGCAGGAGGTGGTAAGAGCTGACCATTAAGATGCCCCGGCTAATCTTACCTGTAGGCCCTCACCTTGAAGGGGCTGAGACCTTAGGGCTCTCTGATGATGGACGCGACGCCTAGTGCGGAGAGAAGCAGGACTCTGACCCAAAGTTTTAAGACAAAGGAGGCGGATGCAAAATGAAGCCAGAGACACCCGGTGTTTGCCTGGCAATGAATTAACTCGTGGTCCCCAGTGAGGAATCCATGCTTTTCACAAGAGCAGTGCCTACGTACACATTGTACAAACCTAAAACTGTGACGGTCACCCTCCTCCCTCAGCCGGTCCCAGAGCATCAGCGTGGAGAAAGCTCCTCCATCCCCACCGTACCGTCTCACGCGGACCTTGGTGACCCCAGGCCCAGAGTCCGGCAGTCCCAACCCTAGGTCCAGCCACTGGCCCTCGGGTGAGAAATAGCTGTGGTGGAGGGCCGAAAGGAGGCTGTTGATTACCGGCCAGCCCGGGGACATCGTCCGGGGCGCAGACTCTGCTCCCAGGAAGGGAAAGGTCTGCAGAGCGGGGACAGAGCTCTGGGCCCCGGGCCCAGCGTCAGAGGGCACAGCAGGGTCCCGAGCTTCACTGATTCACAGGTGCAGCAAAAGCAGCTTCCGGTTGCCTCCCGCGCCGGGCGCCTGCTCGCAGGGCCCTGGCCGCCCCAGGACCCCGGAGAACCCGCACCCGGCCGTGGGGGAGGGCGGGCGGCGGCCGCGCCCTGCCACATCCCATTCGCCAACGCTCCCCCACGTGTCCGTGGTGGAAAGCAGAGGATCTTGGGAAATGTAGTCCAGAGGCGAGTCCAGACGTCACCTGGCGTTCGGAGGGACGCTGAGGGGCAGGGAAATATCCGACCGGGCGGCTCCGCCCCGCGCTCCTCACCCGCCCCGGGGCGGGCGCTGGGCCGACCCGGAAGTCGCCGCCCGCCAAGCCTCTCAGACCTCGGACCCCGGACCTCCGACCTCCTGGACCAGGACTCCGCGGGCCGGGATGGGGCGGCTGCTCGTGCTGCTGCTGCTGCTGCTGCTGCGGCCGCCGGGGTCCCGGCCCTCGGGCCCGCTCCGGGCCTGGGTGGTGCCGCACAGCCACATGGACGTGGGCTGGGTCTACACGGTGCAGGTGGGGGACCCCCCGCGCGCGCCCCCGTGCGCCCCGCCCCCCGCGCGCCCCCGCGTGCCCGCGCGCGCCCCGCCCCCCCGCGCCCGCCCGCGCGCGCCCCGCCCCCCGTGCGCCCCGCCCCCCCCCCCGCGCGCCCCCGTGCGCCCCGCCCCCCGCGCGCCCCCCGCGTGCCCGCGCGCGCCCCGCCCCCCCGCGCCCGCCCGCGCGCGCCCCGCCCCCCGTGCGCCCCGCCCCCCCCGCGCCCGCCCGCACGCGCCCCGCCCCCCGTGCGCCCCGCCCCGCGCGCCCCCCGCGTGCCCGCGCGCGCCCCGCCCCCCGCGCGCCCCGCCCCCACGCGCCCGCCCGCGCGCGCCCCGCCCCCCGTGCGCCCCGCCCCCACGCGCGCCCCGCCCCCACGCGTGCCCGTGCCCCGCCCCCCGTGCGCCCCGCCCCCCGTGCGCCCCGCCCCGCGCGCCCCCGCGTGCCCGCGCGCCCCGCCCCCCGTGCGCCCCGCCCCGCGCGCGCCCCGCCCCCCCGCGCGCCCCCCGCCCCCACGCGCCCCCCCGCGTGCCCGCGCGCCCCGCCCCCACGCGCCCCGCCTCCACGCGCCCCCCCCCCCGCGTGCCCGCGCGCCCCGCCCCCCCCGCGCCCCGCCCCCCCCCGCGCGCCCCGTCCCCCCGCCTCTCTTCCCCCCCCTCCCCCCTCCGCGCCTGCCCCGGGCTGTGACAGCGCAGAAGGACGCCCTGGTGGGGCACTTCCGGTCCCTGAACCCCTCGCTGGCGCTGGGTGGGTCCCCGCAGCGGGGGGGCGGGGGGGGGTCACCCCCGGGGGGGTCACCCCCGCGGGGATGTCCTGCCGGACAAGCCCCTCCGCCCCTTCTCCCCCAGGACATGCCTGGGGTCAGGCTCAGTGCAGGACTGTGGGCAAGGGGCTTTGCTGCTCGGCCTCAGTTTCTCCATCTGTGCAGTGGCAGCACTCGTCCTGCTCAGGGTGATGGGCCAGACCTCGGGACAGCCCTGGAGGCCTGGAAGGAAAGGCGACCAGAGCAGCCCGCATCAACCCCCCCCATTGAGGCTCGCAGTGGTCAGCTGGCCTCTGAACTCTGAAGGAGCCTGTTCATCCCACACACACACTGGCCTCCCTCCTCCAATCCTTAAAACACTGACCGTTGCTTCTATCTCAACCGCTTTCCTCCCTCGAACACAGGACTCAGCCCCTCCTTTTGCTCTGAGGTTATTCACAAGTCACTCTCCGGCCAAGCATGGTGGCTCAAGCCTGTAATCTTAGCTACGCAGATTTTAAAGAGAGGCAGGGAGATTTGATATAGGGTGTTAAGTCTGGTCCTGGGTTGGTCTGGTGACCTTGGGGTGTGTGTGAGGGGAGTGATCAGCAGATGAGACAACTTAGGGGTGGACTCAACCAGCTGTTCTTAGTTTTCAGAAGAGGAAACTGAGGCCCAGAGAAGATGAATGCATTTCCCAGGGCCAGTGATCTCATCGTGGCTCCCTGCTCTGTGCTCAGGCCGTTTGTCAATGAGCGCCATGGGCAGCAGCCCTGGGACGGTGGCCAGCTGCTGCCTACTCTCTCCCCAGAGGCACCCAGCCAGGGGCCGGTCAGGCCCTCAGGGAAAACTGGGAGTACGTTCTCTTATAGGAGACCCCTGGCACCTGCGTCCCTCCTTATCTCAGCCTAGGCAGACTCCTTCGGGGTGCTGTGGCCACACCTCACTCACCTGGGATTTGGCTGTGCTGCCAGCCCAGATCCTCAGAGCCTACCTGGCCCTCGTCCCCTGCCCGCACAGCATGTCCTGCTTCCTGTCCTGAGGCATGATCCTGTCAAAGGCAGGGAGCCTGCGCCTGCTGAGTTCCCACCTCATCACACGCTGCTGGAGCCGCACAGGGGTTGCACTGTGGGGACCAGAGGGGAGGAGCTCCAGGGGTGTGTTCCTTCAGCAGTCCAGCTGTGGTTATTTGGTCTTGTCAGATTTTTCCCTTTGCTACTTTGGGCCAGTCCTCCCCTCCCCACCCCCCCCCCAGCCCCAGGAACAGTGGTGTGACAGTGCCCCCTCCCCAGGAAAGCATGCGGGCATATGCGGCCAACGTCTACACCTCCGTGGTAGCCGAGCTGGTCCGCGGGCAGCAGCGCCGCTTCATCGCCGTGGAGCAGGAGTTCTTTCGGCTGTGGTGGGACGGCGTGGCCTCGGAGCAGCAGAAGCGCCAGGTGACGCATTGCCTGGCCACACAGGTGGCCGCAGGGCCTGGGAGGACCTGGCTGGGAAAGGCCCTGGCCGCCGCCGCCAGGGCTGGGGCAGGATCCACAAGCTTAGGTCAGAACCACAGCCCAGGGACGAGCCACCCGTCCTGGCTGACTGTTGATGCAAACGTAGCCAACTCTGATGAGCTGGCCATGCCCTCCTGAGAGGCGACAGTGGCACTGGCCAAGGTGCCCTGGTGCCTCCACCTCTCCTGATTTGTGATGTCTGTCTGCCCTGGCACAGGAGCTGTGGCCCAGGGTCTCTGTGGTTCGAGGGCAGGCAAGTGATTGCTTCCAACCAAGGAGGCAGCCTGGCACTTGTCCTGAGGGTGTTACCACAGACTGTGGCTGGCCTCTGTGACCACATCAGTTCCATTTCTAGAAAAGAGAGGTGGCAGTTTAATGCACCCCATATTTCTAGGCTGACTCTTGCATCAGGAGAAGGAAACTCGTGGCACAATTGGAAATTTGCATAAGGATTGTGCTTTATAGTTAATGTTTCCTGTTTGTGTTAAATTTCCTGATTTTGATCTTAATGTTACAGTGCTAATCATCCTTGTTCATCTAAGCAAAAGGCAGGCTGTTGCTGACTTACTTTAAGTAGTTTGAAAAAAGGCTAAGTGTAGAGATTGGAAAAAAAAAAAATGGTCAGCAATGTTTATGAAAGCCAGGTGCAGGTGGCTCAGGCCTGTAATTCTAGCTACTCAGGAAGCTGAGATCTGAGGATCACCGTTCAAAGCCACCCCGGGCAGGAAAGTCCGTGAGACTCTTTATCTCCAATAAACCACTAGAAAACCGGAAGTGGCACTGTGGCTCAAATGGTTGAGCACTTGCCTTGAGCTGAAGACCTGAGGGACAGCACCCAGGCCCAGAGTTCAAGCCCCACAACCAACAAAAAGAAAAAAGAAAGAAATGTTTATAAACAAATGGATGCATAGGAGCTCTTGGTACTGTTCGTGCAGCTTTTTCATAAATTTGAAATAATTTTAAAATGAAAAATTATTTATAGGCCAGGCACTGGTGACTCACACCTATAATCCTAGCTAATCAGGAGGCTGAGATCTGAGGATTATAGCTTGAAGACAGCTAGAGCAGGAAAGTTCGTGAGATTCTTATTTCCTGTGAACTACTCAGAAAAAACCAGAAGTGTAGCTGTTGGCTTAAATAGTAGAACACTAGCCTTGAGCAAAAGAAGTTTAGGGACAACACCTAGGCCCTGAGTGCAAGCTCTAGGACTCACACACACAAATTATTTATAGATTATTGACATAGAGGTAGGTTCCTAATAAGAGCCATGGAGCAGTTGTTTTTTGGGTGGTGGCTCATAGATGTTCAGGTCAATGTTCTGCTTTTGTGGTAGGAATTTCATAGAGTCTCTGAGGCCACAGCAGGCTGAGCTCTGCGGGTCGCAGGCCCAGCTCAAGATTCATGACCTGGCTGTCTTCTCTTTGCCCATCTGTGCCCAGGTCCACCAGCTCCTGAAAGAAGGTCGCCTGGAGTTTGTTCTTGGAGGCCAGGTCATGCATGACGAGGCTGTGACCCATCTTGACGACCAAATCCTACAGCTCACAGGTCTGACTACCATGCTAGTTGCTTTTGTCATAGCTGTGGCCAAATCCCAGAGAAAACCAGCTTAAGGGAGAAAGGTTTAGTTTGGCTTATGGTTTCAGAAGTTTCAATCCCTAGTCCTTGGCTCCATTGGTCTGGGCCCTCAGTGAAGGGGAACAATGTGGTAATGGGAGTATGTAGACACTGCTCTTCTCATGGTAGACAGGAAATGGGGTTCAGACGGAGAGGAAGGGGCTGGGGATGAGATGCCCCAAGGACCCGTCTTTTATGACCTGTCTTCCAACTCTGGTCTACCTCCTAAAATTTCCAGAACCTTCCAAAATACTACCATCGGCAAGGTCCACATACTCACTCATCATATGAGCTTATTGGGACATTTCATATTTAATCCACATTCCGCTGTAACATTGTCCCCAAGGCTCATGTCCATCCCATAATGCAAAATCCATCCAGACCACCCCCAGGAGTCCCCGAAGTCTTGATGGTCCAGCATTGCTCAAAAGTGCAAATGCAAAGTCTCCTCTGGACGGAAGGCCATCTTAGCTGTGGCCCTGTATAAATGAAGAACAGGTTACGTACTTCTACTGTCAATGGCCCGGTGTAAGCATTCCCGCTCCAAAGGGTTGACTGGGGCCTAGAAAGGAGAGCTGGAAGCAGAGCAAGACCCAAACCCAGCAGGGAAACGTCACCTCCCGCAGCTCCGTGGCCAGCACCCCACTGCACAATGTCACGAGGTCAGATTGGGAGTGGCCCCGTCCCTATGGCCACTGATACAGACATTGCTACCCCCAGCATCGCCAACTCTTCACCATCGCCAGTCAGCCACCATCACCACCATCAGCCCTAACCCCTCCACCGTCTCCACCACTGCGTCCACACCCCCAGGTCGCCATGCAAAGCCGCGGGGGCACCTCCATGACGAATCCGGGCTCATGCCTGAAGCTTGTAGGCCCACATCCTCTCTGCTCCGCAGGCCTCAGTTTCCCTTTCTGTGAAACGACGAGATGGTGTTGGCACCTTGCCCTTGGCCCTCTCCCGTAGTCCATCTGGAGTCTCTTCCTCGCAGCCTTATTTGGGGATGTCCTGCTTCCCTGGATTTTGCTCCATCTCAAAGGTGGCATTGGACACATGGCCCTTCTTCTTGACCCCTCACACCTCTTGAGCTCCTCCCGCAGTCTCTCCCTCCCCACAAGGCCTTGGGGTGGCCCTGCTGCTCAGGTGGTGATTGGTGGTGGTGGTGGTGACAGACAGGCCAGGCTGGAGTGAGCCTCAGCTCTCTGCCTTCAGATTCCAAGCTCCTACCATCATCCTCTCCTAACACAGAGCCGTGTGTTCTGGGGACCGCGTGCGCCATCTGCCTGCTTCCTACAAGAGAGATGATTCGTTGTGTTTACGCAGAAGATTCTGCCGTGCACAGCATGCGGGCAGGGCCCAGGCTCTCCCTCCTCTGGGCTTCCCGGCCCTCCTGGCACAGCGCCAGCAGCCTGCCCTCTGAGTTGCCATTCCACAGGGAGGAGAAAGGGAAAGGTGGAGAGAGGCCGGCCTTGGGACGCAGGACTGGGCTTCATCCCTGCAGCCACGTTCCCATCGCCCGGAGCTAACTCACATGGCCTCCCACAGCAGCAAGCGTGGCTGGGAGCGTAGTCTGTCATCTTTGCTGAAGTCAGTTCCATCTCTACCGACTGCAGAGGGGGATGGAGAACACGTCCATCCTTTCTAATCCTCTCAAAGCACCCAGAAGTTAGCTCCGTGGCCATCCTCTGCCGAGGAGGAAGTTGGGGTCTGTTGTCCACTATTTTTTGCATAGTCCATTGACCACAATGGAGTTGTGTGACGCCCACCTGCTGCAGGGGAGGCTGGGAAGTGTAGTCTTTGACTGGGATTCCGTGAGCCTCGCTCCAGCCAAGAGAGCCCCTGGGCAGAGGATCTTGGTGGTTTTCATGGGCTCCATTCACACTTCCTGGGCTGTTTGCAGTGAGCTGGGCACAGACACTCAAGGCTGTACCAGTGTCTCCGCCCCATGGCTTCCCAGTGCGTTATCCAAAGTGCCTGGTGCCTGCTGCTGGCTCCAAGCAGGCAGAGTACAAATGTAGGATGCACTGAGCATGCCCAGTGCAGACCACTGCGCCTCCTCACTGGTGTAGGCTGACACGTGCATCTGAACAAAGTGTGGACTCTGGGAGCCCAGGGAAGCCACTCAGTGATGGCCCTGGGACCTACACCTCCCCCAGCTACCCCATCTGGTGAGAGGTAGAGCCTGCCTGCAACCCCAGTGTGCTGCTGCTGACCTTGCCTCCACCCCACCCACCCCCAGAGCTCCCCCAACCTCCTTTGCCATCTCCTCAGCTTCCTGCATGCTCGGCCAGCCCTGGCTGGAGTCCCTGAGGGCCCAAACCCCACTCCCTGGCAGGTCCTTGATCACTCCTTATGGGCTGACTTGCTGCTCTGTTTCCCCCCCCCCCCCACCCCCAATCCCATCACCCCTGCTCTCAGCCAGTGTTCAGTAAAATGAGCTGGACACAGGAAGCATCCTGCAGGGCTCCACTTACAGGAGGTCTCCAGAGGAACCACAACCACAGAGATGGACCCCGGGGTAGCAGGTGCTAGGACATGGGGAGCTGGTATTGAAGGTTAGAGTTTCAGTTTTGCAGAGTAGAAAGACTTCTGGGATGGATGGATAGGTAATGAGTGGATGGATGGATGGGTGGATGGATGGGTGGATGGATGGATGAGGGGTAAATGGGTGAATGAATGAATGGGGTAGATGAATGGGTGGATGGAAGGACAGATGAGGGGCAGATGGATGATGGGTGGAGAAATGGATGAATGAGGGTGGATAGATGGATGGTAAGTGGGTGGGTAGATGGATGGACTGTGGATGAGTGGTTGGTGGATGGATGGATGAGTGGGTGGGTGGATGGGTGGGTATTGGATGGATGAGTGGGTGGGTGGATGGGTGGGTATTGGATGGATGAGTGGGTGGGTGGATGGGTGGGTATTGGATGGATGAGTGGGTGGGTGGATGGGTGGGTATTGGATGGATGAGTGGGTGGGTGGATGGGTGGGTATTGGATGGATGAGTGGGTGGGTGGATGGGTGGGTATTGGATGGATGGGGACAGGTGGGTGGGTGGTTGTTGATAGGTGGGTATTGGATGGATGGGTGGGTAGATGGATGTGGATGGATGGATGGATGGGTGGGTGGGTGGGGTGGGTGGGTGGATGGGTGGGTATTGGATGGATGGGGATGGGTGGATGATGGATGGATGGATGGATGGGTGGGTGGGTGGGTGGGTGGGTATTGGATGGATGAGTGGGTGGGTGGATGGGTGGGTATTAGATGGATGGATGGGTGGGTGGTTGTTGATAGGTGTGTATTGGATGGATGGGTGGGTAGGTGGATGTGGATGGATGGATGGATGGATGGATGATCGGTGGGTGGGTGGATGGATGGATGGATGGATGGGTGGATGGGTGTGTATTAATGGATGGATGGACGGATGGGATCGTTATATAACACAAATACATTTAATGCCTCTGAACTGTGCGCTTAGACATTGATGGTGAGTCGTGTGCAGTCCTTGTGTTTAAGAGTTAAAGCTCAGAGCCTTCACCTCTGTAGACTCACAGGTGCTGCTGGGCCTGGCAGCTGCAGCCTGGCGGGTGGACAGGTGCCCGGGGTGAGCCGGGGCGAGGGGGACCTGCTCGCGCTCACAGCCCCGTCTCTGTGCTCTCTCTGCAGAAGGACACGGGTTTCTCTACCAGACCTTCGGGATGCGGCCACAGTTCTCCTGGCACGTCGACCCTTTTGGTGCCTCTGCCACAACCCCCACCCTGTTTGCCCTGGCAGGCTTCAACGCGCACCTCATCTCCAGAATCGACTACAACATGAAGGATGCCATGCAGAAGGCCCAGGTAGGCGGTGAGCCACCCCTGCTGACCCCCTCCCTCCCTCCCTGCCTCCCTCATTCACGGCTTCTGTAGAGGGCCACTGAATGTGCCTGGCCATGGTGGACTGCCAGTCCTGCCGCTTCCCCCAGGGAGGCCTCCCCCTTGCAGGCCTGACCTGTCGCTCCCACAGCCACAGGCCCAGCTTGGCCACCTCGGGCTTCAAGGCGCCCCCTGTTCGACAGGGCTCCTTGGGCTGTCCCTCCGGGGAGCTGGCGCCATGGGCTCTGAAATGAGCAGCCGCATGGCAAATTAGCAACTTCTGGAAAGCCTTGTCCAAGCCTGGAGGACGCAGCGGAGCTCAGTGAAGCGAGCGGGCCCTGAGGTCTGAGGGCAGCAAGGCCAGCCGGGCCTCGGGCCTCGGGCCTCAACCCCTCTGGCGTTTCAGGGACTCCAGTTTGTATGGCGAGGGTCCCGTTCCCTGGGCGCCCAGCAGGAGATCTTCACTCACGTCATGGACCAGTACAGCTACTGCACCCCATCCGCCATCCCCTTCTCTAACAGGTGCGTGCAGCCTTCGCGGGCCGCCCAGCCGGGGCCCTGGGGCCATTTCTCAATTCGAAGCTTCCATAGCAGAGTGGGTGTTGTTACTGGGACTCGGAGAGGGTTACTGACCAGCTCAGGCCACGCAGCTGGCCACCGGGACGCAGGATTGAAGTCTAGCTCAGAGTGACCCCAGGGCTTCTGCTGTGGGTCCCCGTCCCAGTGTGGGATCGTTCAATGCCAGCACCCCGGGAGCCCCCACCCCTGCCAGGTCCCCGCCCTCCCTGGGCTCCGCAAGCCGGGATCTCCAGGAGTCTCCTGACCTACGACCCCTCCTTCCCATGCCTGCCCCACACCCCAGCACCCCAGTGTCACCCGAGAGGCCCCGCCTCTGCCCATGAGGCTCCGACAGGGCGCCGGGTTCTGGGCAGGCCCCGGTGTGGGTGTGGGGTGCTGTGGAGAGGAAGCAGCGTTGGGTGAGGTGTGGGGAGGTGGACAGCGGGGCCGTGTGGAGCTGGGGTAACGTACCCACGTGCCCCTGGCAGACCTCACGGCTGGTGGAGCTGGCACCCAGCCTCCCCTCCCCGCGCGTCTGCTCTTGCTCAGGACCGGCTTTTACTGGAATGGTGTGGCCTTCTTCCCAGAGCCACCCCCGGACGGGGTGTACCCCAACATGAGCCAGCCCGTCACGCCAGACAACATCCATCTCTACGCCGAGGTCCTGGTGGCCAACGTGAAGCAGCGGGCCGCGTGGTTCCGAACACCCCACGTGCTCTGGCCCTGGGTACGGCGCGTGCGGGGGCCGGGGGGTTCCCCGCCCCAGGACCACCTGCATGGCCAGTGCCTGTCCAGCTAGGCCCCCGGCCTCTCCCTCTCCCAGCCGCTCCCCTGCTGGGAGCTAGCCACCGCCCTCAGTGTCAGACCATCCCCAGCCTCATGGGTCCTCACCTGCACCCCAGCCTTGGCCTCTCCAGCCCCGAGACCAAGACCTGGGGGAGCTCAGATTCACAGCAGTTCCTGCCCCATCTGCTGGCTGTGGGGCTTGTGAGGGAGGCACCGTGGGGGGCAGCGCCAGACCCTCTTCTATAGGCTCTGTTTGCCTCGCCCATCAGCTGGCCCTGCTGGGCTTGGGAGGCGGGCCTTGCTGCTCAGAGGCTGAGACACACAGCAGTTTAAGAGAGAGGCCAGGTAGGACTTCATATTCAGTCCTGGTCAGGGAGCCTGAAGCCTGCCTTCCCAGCCTAGGACCGCTATTGCAGTACGTCAGTGAGTGAGAACTGTGATCACTGCTGATAAATGCCTTGGGCTGGATACCATGGCTCATGCTTATAATCCTATCTACTCAGAGGCTAAGATCTGAGGATCACAGTTCAAGGCCAGCCTGGGCAAGAAAGTGGGTAAGACTTGAGCACCAAATAAAGCCGGAAGTGGAGGTGTGGCTCAAGCGGTAGAGCTATAGCTTTCAGCAAAAAATCACTCAGGGTCAGGACCCAAGCTTTGAGTTCAAGCCCCAGAACCTGCACTAAAACAGAGCCCATAGTCTACCCATATGTAGCAGTTCTGACAATTGTGTGAGATACTCAGCAGTGACAACCACAGGAGCCATTCTGGGGCTCTGGTTGGCACCAAAGAGGGTGGGTGGCTGACTGGCAGGAGCTCTGCTGAGCCCGCCTACCCGGCCCAGGGCCCAGCCCCCAGGAGTACCAGCTGCGGCTCTGTGTCTGGCCCGCAGGGCTGTGACAAGCAGTTCTTCAACGCCTCGGTGCAATTTGCCAACATGGACCCCCTGCTGGACCACATCAACAGCCACACAGCGGAGCTCGGAGTCTCCGTGCAATACGCCACGCTGGGCGAGTTCTTCCACACGCTACACACACTCAACGCCACCTGGAGCGTCCGCGACCACCACGATTTCCTGCCCTATTCCTCAGGTACGCAGAGCTGCTGTGGGGGGCAGCCAGCTCCCAGTTCAGTGTGGGCTTGGCACTGGGGCGTCAGGTAGGAGGCCAGGGAAGGTAGCTAGCAAGGGACCCCCGCCACGTACCATGGGCACGGTCTGCCGGCAGCTCACGCAGGCCAGTCTCCTCTCAAGTGGTCCAATGCCTGCCTAGCAAGCAAAAGGTAAGTTCGGCTCTAGTTCTGGACCCTTCACCCCACCAAGAAAGGTAGGTGAGACAAACTAGGCCAATGAGCATCAACACAGAAGGGTAATTCTTGGCTGAAGTGAGCTGAAGCCGGGCAGTGGCAGATCGCGCCCGTGATCTTGCCTGCTCAGGAAGCAGAGAGCCAGAAGGTTGCCGTTCAAAGCCATCAGGTAGAAAAGTATACAAGAGTCTTCATAATGACCAGAAAAAGAAAACGGCTGCAAGCGTGTCTGAGCTGGCACAGGACCAGCCAAGCAAGCACAGGCTGAGTTCAAAGCCCCAGTGCTAGCATGAAGAAGTGAGCCGAGGCCCGCAATGGTGGCACACACCTGTAACTCCAGCTACCTGTAACTCCAGTTGAAGGCAGGAGGATCATGAATTTGAGGCCAGCCTGGGCAAAGGTAGTACAATAAGATCTTATCTCAAAAATAACAAAACGTTTTTATATCTTTAGGAAGAGGCTGTGGTCCAATTGTTTGCACCAATCACAGCATAGCCCTTCATGCAAATGAAGGACTCTGTTTGCACCAATCACAGCATAGCCCCTCATGCAAACGAAGGACTGTGTTTATGCCAATCACAGCACAGCCTCTCATGCAAATGAAGGACTGTGTTTATGCCAATTACAGCACAGCACCTCATGCAAATGAAGGACTGTGTTTGCACCAAACACAGGCATTCCATGGAGCTACCATGTGAAGTGCTCCCCCTCTGGCCTAGACATAAATGGCTATAGGATCATCTAGAGTCTTTGGCTCTTCTAGGATGGGGGCTTACTAGGCCCCATGGTTCAAGGAACCTGGGGCTCATGGTCTGCCCTTGTTCTCCAGAACTGTGGCAGGCCTGGACAGGCTTCTTCACATCGCGCAGCACGCTCAAGGGCCTGGCGCGGAGAGCCAGCGCCCTGTTGTACGCCGGGGAGTCCATGTTCACGCGCTACCTGTGGCCAGCCCCCCACGGGGCCCTGGACCCCACCTGGGCCCTGCAGCAGCTCCAGCAGCTCCGCTGGGCTGTCTCTGAGGTAATGCCCACTCCTCAGCCTTGGAGCAGCACTGGGCCTCCTGTGGCCTGCGCTTCCCACCCTTATGCCTCCCCGTCCTAGCGCTTCCTCCCATAGAGACCCGTCTGTACAGGTCCCCTCTAAGGACAAGGTCAGCGCATGGCAAAGCTGGCCCAAGTTCCCACGGCACCCAGCGGTGGCTTCCTTGAAGTCTCACTTGGTCGGTCCTTCCTGGACACAGCCTTCCTCTCCTGTGTGACCTCAGGCATGTGGCCTACCCTCTCTGAACCTTAGTTTCCTCCCGCCTTGTACATGCCCAAGAGGATTGTGGGATGCTGGAACGTGGTAATATCCATGACCCGAATTGTTTATAATGTCCATCTTTCCACTCATCCCCCACCCCACACACATGTAACACAGTGGGGAGATGGGGCCTTGTTACGTGTCACCCATCCAGAAAGTGGGGAGATCAGCAGTTACCTGAAGGGAATGACGGGCAGGACTTGGGGTGCTGGGAAGAAAGTCCATCAGAACAGCCGGCCACAGTGGCTTCACCTGTAATGCCTCAGTTTCCCCTCTGGGAAGATGAGGAAACTCACCCCTGCCCTGGCACTGAGGCGTGAGCCCAGTAGGGAGCAGCCACGCGCATGGGAGGAGGGAGAGGAGCCCGGGGTCTCTCCGGAGCCTGTTGCAATAGAGATGAGGCTCCGGCAGGCGCCACCTGGACCAGGAGACGCGGGGCAAGCTCTGCAGCTGTCTGCGTCCGTTTCCTCCTCCAAAGTGGAGGGAGGAGCCCCTCCACTGGTGCAGACGCCACTGCCTGGCCAGTGCCTCTGGGCCTCTCTGACCCCCTTCCTCCTTGGCTGTGGCAGGTCCAGCACCACGATGCCGTCACCGGTACCGAGTCCCCCAAGGTGCGCGACATGTACAGCGAGCACTTGGCCACGGGGATGCTGGGCGTGCGCAAGCTCATGGCCTCCCTCGCCTTGGAGGGGCGGGGCTCCTCCGCAGCGGAGCAGCACGCAGCTCTGCAGGCCCCCCCAGGTAAGCTGGGGCCCTGGGGGGCTGCGGCTCAGTTCTGAGAGGAGAGCCGGGGGCCTGGCCAGCAGGTGGCTGGCACTCATACTCAACAGCCGTGACGTGACCCTGGCAGTGAGCGCAGTGCTCTGGCCCTGCATCTTCACCCAGGAAATGAAGAGGGGCGAGGATTTGACCCCCTTCTGTGCTTCCCTGCATTGGGGGAGGGGCGGGGCTGGCTCCACCATGCCTTCCTGAGCTCAGCCCGGCCGGGGGTAACTGACAGCATGTCTGAGACTCCACAGGGGCGGAGGGACAGAGGGTGCCCACTGGGGCTAGAGGGGGCAGGTTCATCTCCAACATACGCACCCAGCTTCCTGTACAAGCCCCTCCCCAGCCGTCCTCTCCGCCCGGCCACCTTGAACTTGCTGTCCCTCCTCGCTCTGGCCTTCCCGTTCTCCACACAGTGTCCCGTTGTGGTGTCCACATGACCTGTGCCCTTCTGCCTCGTCTGTGTTGACCCCATCCTACCTGCAGATTCTGGAAGACTCTGAAGGCCCAGGGTTAGAACAGACAGGGACCCACCCTTGGGCCACCAGCCTGGGAGACAGTGCAGAAAGAGAGCTGTCACCTGGGCTGTGACATCACTGCTGGACGGGCAGTTCCCACGGTGCCCGCCAATCCCACCAGCACATGGGGAGCTTCCCTGGGCGGAGGAGGTAGAGGAGACCCGACAGAGGTTATCCTGGCACAGGAGGGAGGCTGGGGAGCAAGAGATGTCAGGACTGCACAGCGGCAGGGGACAGACAGAGGCCGCAGAGCCGGGCGCGGGGCTCGCGCCTGTCATCCCAGCTACTCAGGAGGCTGAGATCTGAGGATCGCGGTTCAGTGCCAGGCCAGGCAGGAAAGTCCCTGAGACTCTTATCTCCAATTAACTACTAGAAAACCGGAAATGGTGCTGTGGTGCTGTGTAGAGTACCAGCCTTGAGTGAAAAACCTCAGAGACAGCACCCAGGCCCTGAGTTCAAGCCCCATGACCAACAGAAAAAGGAAAGAAAGGGACCACAGGGCCACATCACTCAAACCCGACCCTCAAGGCCCCAGAGAATTCAGTTGCTCACAGGCCCAACAGCAAAAGCTTCCGCTGCCGGCCTGCGAGCCTGGGCTGCTTGGCCGGTGGTTGGGCCTCCCTGCGCCTGTTTCCTTCGCTGAAGTGGGCCAGCAGGCAGAAAGGTGTCTGGGTAGACAGGACCTGGGCTGTTCGGTGAACACGACGTGCTCCGTCCCACCTCCCCGCTCGGGACCGGCAGGTGTGAGCCCCTCCTGTGGCTGGCCCTCCCCCAGCCCCGGAGAGCTGGGTCTTGCCTGCCTCAGTTTCCCTCATCCTTGGGGGAGCCCAGAGGTCTCAGTGGCAGCAAGCGAAGCCTGTTCTCTGAGCAGGCACAAAGCCGGCGGGATACTCTGCCTCAGTCTACAACCCACTGGCCTGGACAGTCACCACCCTCGTCACCCTGACCGTTGGCTTCGCCCGAGTCCGCGTCACGGACGAGCTGGGCCACCCTGTGCCCGCGCAGGTACGGACGTGAACTCTGCCGGGCGGACTTGCCGCCGACCGTCTAAGCTCCGCGTGCACATGCGCAGACGCCACGGAGGTGCTTAACAGCATGCAGGGGCTTGGGTGATATTCAGGCTGTGCACCCCCACCCTGGCCTGCTGTCCGGTCCCTTCCTCCGCTGCTGCCCGGAGCCGGCCATGGTCCCAAAGGCTACACTCGGGCCTGTTGGCATCCTGGCCCTGGCTCCTGGTCCCCAGGCTGGGTGCCTCACCCCAAGTAGACGTTTTAGGACAGAGAGATGACTCCGGAGCTGGAGGTTCCCTTAGCTGAGCCTGAGAAAGGCCGGGGGCCGGGGGGGGGGGGGGGGGTTGGGAGCAGATGGGAGCGAGCCCACCCCTAAGGCCCTACACACACACACACACACACACACACACAGGGGAAGTTCACAGATTTATCTCCACGTCCCCCACCCCTCTCCCGCGAGCAGGTGGCATTGCTGGGGTTGAGGCTAACACAGGACCGGGGAGACAGGCGAGAAAGAGCGTCCAAACAGGTGACAGCACGGGCAGGACGCGTCCAGACAGAGGGGCCGGGTTGCAGCGTGCGGGACCAGCAGCAGGAACATACGTGTCCCATCCCGGCTTGCTAATAGGGCCCCTCCCCCCCTCCCATACGGGCTAGGAATGCATGCTGCAGCTAGTGTTAGCAAACCCAGGTTCATTTACTCCACACTCAAACACAGGCCCAAGGCCAGGACAGGTGCCTGGGACAAAGGAAAGAGAGAGCGAGGGCTGGGCTGCAGCTCAGTGCAGAGCGCGGGCCTAGCACGAGCGCAGTGTCCTGAGTTCCATCCCAGTCACAAAAAAGAAAGGACAAACCAAGAAAAGGACTCATAATGCCGCAAAGCAAGAAGAGGGCAGGCAGTGCCCTGCAGAAAACCACTTCCCTCAGCCTAAGCTCCAGGCTCCTTTGTCCTTGGGATGGAAAGGGTCTGTGACTAGAAATGTTTAGGCAACGTGTGTGTGTGTGCCCAAGGGACCCAGCAGCCAGCTATCTTTGGGCTGTGAAGGGTCCCTGGGGCTGATATAAGGGATGGGGGTCACAGGCTCAGTCTGGAGATGGAAGGACACCCTGCCTGGCTGGGAGGGAGAGCGGGGCTGCTCAGGTGACTGATGGGTCTGTTCCCCACCCCCCACTCCACACACACACACACACATTCTCGGTGGCCTTGCAGATTCAGAGCTCCAGCAGGCAGCCCTCTGCGTATGAGCTGCTCATCCTGACCACCATCCCAGGCCTCAGTTACCGGCACTACCAGCTCTGGCCCACCACAGAGCCCCACGCAGGCCCCTGGGAGCCCGCTGCCGCCGGGGCCCATGTCCTCAGGTATGGCCGCAGAACAAGGAGGCAGGCCCGCCAGGGCGGCAGGAAGCTGGTGCCCGTGAGGAACGACTGTTACACCGTGCTGCTGGACCGGGACACCAACCTGATGGACAGCATCTGGGAGAGGTGAGGCGCAGCCCGGGCGGGCGCGGGGGCGGGAGCCCGGGGTCGGGCCACGCCAGCTGCCTCCCAGCGCCGCCTTCGCTTCCCCGACTGGAGGAAGGACCAGACGGCACAACAGCCCTCCTTGTGACTTTCTCATTTTTATTTTTATTTTTTGTCAATTGTGGAGCTTGAACTCTGGGCCTGGGCGCTGTTCCTCAGCTCTTCAGCTCAAGGCAAGCACTCTACCACTTGAGCCACAGCGCCACTTCTGTTTTTCGGGTGGTTTATTGGAGATAAGAGTCTCATGACCTTTCCTGCCAGGGCTGGCTTTGAACTGCGATCCTCAGATCTCAGCTTCCTGAGTAGCTAGGATTACAGGCATGAGCCACCGGTGCCTGGCTTTTCTGATGTTTTTTAAATTTTTTATTTTATTTTTTTGTCGGTCATGGGGTTTGAACTGTGGGCCTGGGCGCTGTCCCTGAGCTCTTCAGCTCAAGGTGCGCTCTCTACCACTTGAGCCACAGCGCCACTGCTGGTTTTCTGGTGGCTAATTGGAGATAGGAGTCTCATGGACTCAGGACCCTGACACAGCTGCTGTGTCACTGGCTAGTCCATGACCAGCACATTTGTCCTGAGCCCCACTTTCCTCGGCCAGAACACCCCTTACTGTGACCTCTGGAATAACGTGGCCACAGAAAGGGCACTTCTGTCACCTTGGGCAGGCTTGGTAGTAAAATCAGTTAGTGTCCTATGTCTCCTGGGGGTCGGGAGAAGTTAACGAAGTGACGGGTGTCAGGACCCTGGCATGGGACACGAGGTGAGTTAGTGTCCCACCAGACAGTGCAGATCAGCATGACCAAAATCCATCTTGTGGTCGTGTTGCTCAGGGTCCAGCGTTGGCCGCCAGGACGGCCAGCCGCCTTGGTGAGCAGCGCCCTCTGCTGGCTGCCAGAACAGCAGGTGGAATCTGATGGAGACTGCGGCCGTCCATCCGGGAGACCTGGTCCAGAGTGACAGGGACGCTCTTCTCTTGTTGCCGCAGCCAGAGTAACCGCACGGTGCGCGTGGCCCAGGAGTTCCTCGAGTACCACGTCAACGGAGATGTGAAACAGGGCCCCATCTCTGACAACTACCTGTTCACACCCAAGGAGCCCGCAGAGCCGGCATGGGAGGCCGTGGAGATGGAGATTGTGGCAGGGAAACTGGCCACGGAGATCCGGCAGTTCTTCTACAGGTGCTGGGGGGGGGGGGGCGGCGGGCAGGGGGCGGGCAGGGGGCGGGCAGGGGGCGGGCAGGGGGCGGTGCCTCTCGGGGCAGCACCTGGCCTGCTTGATGAAACTTGAAAAGAATGACTAGCCGGCGCCGTGGCTCACGCCTGCCATCCCAGCTGCTCAGGAGGCTGAGCTCTGAGGATCTCGGTCAAAGCCAGCCTGGGCAGGAAAGTCTGTGAGACCCTTATCTCCACTTAACCACCAAAAACCTGGAAGTGTAGCTGTGGCTCAAGTGGTAGAGTGCTAACCTGGAGCAGAAAAGCTTAGGGACAGCGCCCAGGCCCAGAGTTCAAGCCCCAGGACTAGCCAAAAAAAGAGGAAGAATGGCTGTAACCTTTGCTTTGCATGCGCACAGGAGCCTGAGCAGCTTTGTCTGAATGCGGGGCACACTGGGGGGCTCTTGTTCACCCACTAGTGGTCAAGGCCTAGCACAGCAGCTCCATCATATCAGATGCGAGCTCCTCCAGAGCCCTGCTGGGTCTGCGGCACAGGGGCAGGAAGGAAGGCCTGCCCAGGGGTGTCCATGGCTGGCTTTCTTCTCCAGACGCGCCTCGGCCCAGGCTTACAGCTATGCCATCTACTCCCGCCTGGCCCACGTGCCTCGGGAGGCCGACGGGCAGCTGCTGTGCCATCGGATAGAGCAGAGGTACAGCGCAGGCCCCCTGGAGCTGAACCGCGAAGCCATCCTGAGAACCAGCACAGATTTGAACAGCCACCAGGTCCTCTACTCGGACAACAACGGCTACCAGATGCAGCGGAGGCCCTACCAGAGGTTCAGGGACAACGCCATCGCCCGGGTACGCAGACCGCCACACCCCGGGGGCTTCTCCTGCTCCCTGGCGTCACCTCCTACCAGTACGGCCTCCGGGAAGTTGGGTTTTGCTTGTTCTCATTTTGTTTTTTTGTCCCTGTATTAGGGTTTGGACTCAGGGCCTGACCACTGACGCTAAGCTTTTCCACTCAAGGCTAGTGCTCTACCATGTGAGCCTCAGCTCTACTTCTGACTTTTTGGTGGTTAACTGGAGATAAGAGTCTCCTGGACTTTTCTGCCTGGACTGGCTCTCAGTCACGATCCTCAGATCTCAGCCTCCTGAGCCTTAGGATCACAGGCGTGAGCTGCTGATGCCTGGCTCACTTTTCATTGTGCTGTCCAAGGGTCACTCTGCGGATATGACGCGTGTTGAACTCCTAGCCGGGTGTGGAGTGGGTCCCCTGCGTCCCGTGGCTACGGAGTAGCAGAGAAGGAGGCTGAGCCCCTGCGTGTGGGTCGCCAAGGCCAGGGCCCTGCTCCACAGGCCACTTGAGTCTAGGGAGGGATAGTGGGGGGCTGCCTCACCCGGTAGCATGCCAGCCCCTGGGTGACGTTTGCATCTGCAGAATTACTACCCCATGGTGCAGTCGGCCTTCATCGAGGATGGCAGAAGCAGGCTCGTGCTGCTGTCGGAGCGGGCGCACGGCGTCTCCAGCCAAGAGAACGGGCAGGTGGAGGTAGGCGTGGCGCGGGGGGGTCCACCCCCGTCCTGGCATCTGCTCGTAAGCCTGGCCAGAGGTGAGCAGGAGCCCCTGGAAGCACGCTTTCCCGCAGGTGATGCTCCATCGGCGGCTGTGGAACAACCTGGCCTGGGACCTCAACTACAACCTCACGCTGAACGACACCTCCGTCGTCCACCCGACGCTCTGGCTGCTGCTGGGGCCCCCAGCGCTCACCACAGCCCTGCGCCCAAGGAGCGGGGTGGAGCTGCAGCACAGGCCTGTCGTGCTGCTGCGAGAGCTGGCCCGCACAGGCCCGCCGGCTCAGGGTGCGTATCCCCGTATCCCTGCCGCCCAGGACACGGCCATGGGCCCGAGAGGCGCCCAGCTGTGCTTCCCCACCGCCAGGCTCTGGGCAGCCTTGGAGAGGGAAGGGCAAACGGCTACGCCATGCCAATGTGAGACTCACACCTGTTCTGCTCCATGTCTCTGCTCCGAGTCCTCCATTTCCTTCCCTGCTGTACCTTTTCCTTTCTTTTTTATTCATTTCATTTCATTTATTATTTTATTTTTATTGGTACCAGAGTTGGAAGTCAGGCTGTTTACTGGGCTGGTGATTGGCCACTTGCACCACAACTCCAGCCCTCCTTTCTGCTTGTTCATGAGAGCAGGAGGATGATCTGCTTCTGGATCTCAGCCTCCTGAGTAGCCAGGATTACAGGCGTGAGCCACCAGGGCCCCACAAGTGCTTGTTTTCATTGTTTTTTCTTTCTCTTTCTCTCTCTCTCTCTGTCTCTCTGTCTCTGTCTCTGTCTCTCTCTCTCTTTGTTTTGTTTCTTGGCCAGTCCTGGGGCTTGAACTCAGGACTTGGAGCTTTTTCTGTTTATGTGGTACTAAGGAATCGAACCCAGGGCTTCATGTAAGCACTCTACCACTAAGCCACCTTCCCAGCCCTCTCTCTTTCTTCCTCCCTCCCTTCCTTCCTCGCTCCCTCCCTTCCTTCCTCCCTTCCTTCCTTCCTTCCTTCCTTCCTTCCTTCCTTCCTCCTTCTCTCCCTCCCTTCCTTTTTCCTCTTTCTTCTTAACGCTGTCGCTGGGTCTGGCCCAGCATGAAAGGGTAGTTGTGTCTGGATCGGTGTCTGCCATCCCCAGGTGAGCGTGTGTCTAGCTCACAGTCTGTCTGTCACAGCCCCAAGCTCTGCATCTTGAGGAAAACAGTGGAACACAATCTGGTGCTGGTGGTTCACATCTGCAATCCCACAGACTCGGGAGGCAGAGGCCTGAGTGGTCATGTTTCAAGGTCAGCCTGGCCCGAAAAGCCCTTGAAATGCTATCTCCAAAACAACTAGCAAAAAGCAAGGCTGGGGTGTGGCTCAAGTGGTCAGGTGCCAGCCAGGCAAGCGAGCCAAGTTCAAACCCCAATACTGGCATACACACAGTAGCTGGACACAAGAAGCACTTAAAAATGAGGGGGTGCTTTGCAGCATGAAGCACCTAGATAGAATGTCGGTTGTATTCTCGAGATCATTGAGTTGTATTCTCTTCCTGCCCGTTAAGAGGGTTTGATTCGTTTGGGTGGCGTTTGGCTTTGGCAGTGTTGGAGTTTGAATGCAGGGCCTCGTGCTTGCCCCTTGGCCTGTGTCAGAACCACACCTCCTTTTCTGTGCTGTTACTTTTTAGAAAGGGTCTTGCTTCTTACCGAGCGCTCACCTGGACCACTATCCACCTATTTCGGGGTTCACGTTGTAGCGTGATGGCAAGGCATGGGCCACTCCCACCTCCTTCCCTTCAGATGTAGTCTCTCAGGCTTTTGGCTCAAGGTGGCCTGGAACTGAGATCTTCTTGACCTCCAACTCCCAAGGAGCTAGGGATTACAGGCTGGAGCCACCGGTGTCTACCTAGGATGTGTTGGAGTTTGCTCTGCTTCCGTTATAAAGCCAGGATCTCCCAGGGTGTCAGCAGGGACTACACGCACCAGGTGTATGGGCAAGCCCTCTACCGCTGAGCCACCTTCCCAGCTCGCACCAGGTGTATGGGACACAGCCCGTCCTGCAGTTCTCAGGAAGGCAGGGAGGGGGACAGGCTCCCACAAACACGATTTGCGGGCGGGAGAAGAGTCGGAAGGCCCTGGTGTCTCATAGTGGAAGCAGCATGCGACGCGAACCAGGAGACCAAAAGTCATCTGAAGAGAGTTCAGGAAAGGCTCTCTACACGGAAGCGACACAAACTGGCTGAGCAGAGCCTGGGGAAGCTCCCTAACGAACAGGCGCTAGACACGAAGGCCCGACTGGGCCGGCGTTGGCACCTTGTGAGCCGAGCGGACAAGGCTGTGCGTCCTGGCGCCACTCACCTGTCTGCCTGGCTGCTCCCAGGTGTCCAGGCTGCACCTCTCCAGGGAAGGGCACCTGCCAGTGGCTCCTCCCGGCGGGGTATCTGCCGCTGAGGGAGCGTCAGTGTGTGTGAGCAGCTCATCCCGCCCGCCCCAACTTGGTACAAGGGAGAGGAATGCACCTTGAACTTGCTGAGCCTTGGAATTGTTTATTCTGGGGTCCCCATAATCACAGGAAGAGCAGGGGTATAGCAGGGCCTTCAGGCCTCGATGATCTCTCCCGGCCTCCCCTGTGCAGTGTCTGCAGGTGGCATCCTCTTCCTCCTCTGCTTTATTCTCCTGGCTGGCTGGTGTCTAGTGAGCCCAGACTGCTCTCAGAAAACAGCTCTCCTCATCCGTACCAGCTGGCTTCTGTCACTAACATGTAACGCCCAGAAGGAGCTGAGACTCAAACTTTCAGGTCTCATGGACAATTCTCCCAGGGGAGGATTGAATTGGTCCTGCTCAGGTCAGGTGGTCCATGCCTGGGCCAATCATGTGGTCTGAAGAATTAGGGTGATAGCTTTAGATGTAAGGAGGACTTGGGAGGGGCCGAGGAGGCGGCCCCTTTGAGTGTCTTCTCCTGAAAGATGACAACACAAGGGACCTGGGGTACAAAATCTGGCTCTGTGAATTTGAGCACACCGTGTCCCTCTCTGGACCTTGTTGTCATCTAGAACCCACAATGGCCATTGAGCAGTCTCAAGGTCCCTCCAACTCTTAGGCCGCTCTGTGATCCTAGGAGCGAGAGGTGGAGGGAGGTGGAGGGGGTCTCGCAGAGGTGGAGCCTGGGGACTGGGCGGGGCGTCTTGCGGCTGGCCTGTGGTACACCGCGCACCAGGGTGGAGAGGCGAGAGGAGAGCCCTGGGGCGTTCTCAGCCCCAGGGGTGAGGTTGGCCCCTCTCCTCACAGCGCCCATCTACCCTACAGGAGCTTCCTCAGAGCCCCAGGGACTCCGACGGCAGACAGCGGTGACGCTGCCCCCGAACCTGCACCTGCAGGTCCTGAGCGTCCCCGGCTGGAACTACAGCACCAACCACACAGAGCACCTGCGGCATCTTGAGCAAGGTGGGCGGTGCCCAGGGCGTCCAGACCCTCCTCCCTCCTGCTCAGGGTCCCCAGGCTCCTGGCCCCTCACCAGGCTAAGAGGGTGCCCCGAGACTTTTCACTGCTAGGTGAGGTTGCCTGGCATTGAGGACACCAAGGCCCACGGAGAGCTAGCAAATACCCGCTGGCATGCAGCCAGCGGGGCAGGGGGGCCCAGCCCAAGACCAGCCACACCACACCGACAGGGAACCTTCCCAGTGCCCACCCTGGACAGGGCGTGTGGGGATGGAGTAAGGGAGCCACTGGAGCCGCTGGCCACACACCTGCTGTTGCTGCCCAGGGCAGACTCCTGAGAGGAGGCGGGTGGGAATCCTGCCTGACCTCTGCTCTGGGGACAAGCAGAAGCCATTTGACAAAGCTCACAGCTTTGGCAGGCTTGGGCAGCCATTTCTGCAGGACTGTCAGGAAACAGGCAAGTGCCGTCATAACCCTAGGGTGAGCTTGAGGAAACCACGACCCCCCTCCTTTGATGTCAGCCTCTCCAGGACTGGAGGCCCAGGGCTTTGCTGAGTGTTAACCCATCTCATGTGTAAAGCAGGAGCAGTGTCTATGAGCTTGCTGTGCAGTGCAGTCAGGGGTAGGACCAAGACCAGGTAGATGATGTGGTTACTGAGACCCTTGTATCAGTCAGCACGGCCAGGTGCTGCTGCAGTAACAAAGAGCTTACGACTTCACCATCTTCACATAACACAAATGCATTTTCCCCGGCACGGGGCACGGGTCCAGTCCTTCCCACCATGACCATCAGGTCCCCATGATGGAAGTTGAAATGTAAGACCTGCTTCATCACAGAAGCTACATGCCGTATCAGTGCATTTTACTTTGGCCACACACCAGCCACATGGCCACACCTAATCCCAGAGGGACAGGATAGAGAGGCCAGGGTCATCCAGTCGGGACCCCAGCAGACATGAGGACATTGGCAGAGATCCCAGTGTGTCAGGCCGGAGGCCTAGAGTCAGCCCCACCCAGGCTGGACCTTCCTTTTGCTGCCCCCCAGCCTTGGGTCCCGGGCCTCAGTGCCCTCCGCTATCAAGTGGGGACTGAGGCACCACGGCCGAGGACGGGAGTGGAGTCCACGGGGTAAACCTCGGGCTCAGGCCAGCAGCCTTGAGCCTGGTAGCTGGGTGTCCTCACTGCCACCTTCTGTCCCCAAAGGTCACCACGGGAAGGCCCAGGCAGACCTGCACCGGGTCCTGCTCCGCCTCCACCACCTGTACGAGACGGGTGAGGACCCAGTCCTGTCGCAGCCGGTGACGCTGAACCTCAAGGTAAACTCCCCCCTCCCTGCCCTGAGCCGGGACCCCAGGGGCGCCCCACCCCGGAAGGGAGCCTGAGCCTGAAGACCTGGCTTGTGGGACCACCTCTGCCAGAAGAGCCGGGACGCACTGGCCAGCACAGACGGCAGAAAGAAAACCCATTCTGGGAGACTCTTTCCTTTTCTTTCTGTGCTACTCTGGGAGCCTGGCCTGGGCCTGGGCACTGCTCCCTAGCATTTTCCACTCAATGCTGGTGATCTACCACGTGAGACACCCCTCCACTGCTGACTTTTTGCTGAGTCTCATGAACTTTCCTGCCCAGGCTGACTTCAAACCACAATCCTCAGATCTCAGCCTCCTGAGCCACCAGCACCAGTCTAGAGGCTTCTTTTAAGGGTGCTTTAGAGTCAGACAATCCAAGGTCTGTGTCCATCTCCCCCTCCTCCCCCCACCCCCCTGTGTCTCCGCTCCGTCAGCCTGTGCCCTGCACCGCTGAAGTGGAGGGCTCTGCTCTGAAGGCTGCTGGGCGGCTGCATTGGCCTGTGGTGGTTCCAGCCTCCACCTGTGCCCACGTCTCCCGAAGCTGCCTGGGGAGGCACACCCCAGCCTCGGTTTCCCCATCTGTGGAATGGGCAGATGATAAATAGGGCAGGGGTCCCAAAGCAGGGTCTGGGGTCCAGGACACGGAGTGGGTGCTGTGGCCTCCCCTGCGGCCCGCCCCCCCACCCCCAGGCTCCGCGGGGACACACAGAGCCCGGCAGCAACTCCGCTGCTCCCCGCAGGCCGTGCTGGAGGGGCTGGGGGCCGTGGCCGCCGTGGAGGAGCGCTCGCTCACGGGGACCTGGGACGTGCACGCGCTCCGGCGTTGGACCTGGAGGACAGAGTCTGCCCCCCAAAGAGGTTTGCAAGCCCCGCTGGGTTTCCTGGGTTCAGGACAGCTCTGCCCTTTCGGTTGCGGCTGCGTGACCCTGCTCCTGCTGCCTGCCCCGCCCCGCACTCCAGTGCCCAGTGCCGCACCCTCCAGCTGTGCCAGGCCCTGGCCTGAGTCTCCACCCAGGCAGGGGTCTCCGCTCACTCCCTGCCCCGAGTTTCCTCTTCCTTTTGCCTTCATTTGTCCACTGCACCCGGCAGGGTACCAGGTGGAGCCTGCACTTCCCACTTCAGAGGAGGGAGAAGACAGATGGGGGGGTCCCGTGACCCTCCCAAGGGCCCTGGGCCCTGGGGGGACAGGGCAGTTTCTCACAAGGTCCCCAACTGAAAGCTTAGTGCTGTGTGTCCCCCCATAGCCGATTAGCAGCCCCTCCAGTCCTCTTCACTGGGGGGGGGGGGAGGGGGGAGGGGGGAGGGGGGAGGCACCTGTGGAGCAGGTGTCCAGCAGCCATCGCCACAGCAGATGCTCATAAACAGCTCCCCAACCAGGAGGGGGCAGGCAGGCAGACAGACAGAAGGACCCTCTGTGCTCCCCAGGCTGCCCCAGCTCCCCGCCAAGGCCGCTGCCGGCAGACACCTCCATCACCATGCACCCCAGGGAAATCCGGACGTTCTTCATTCACTTCCAACAGCAGTGAGCGGCCCCCCAGGGCCGAGGGGGGCGGGCAGATTCAGGGGCAAGCTGCCAAGAGGGACCGAGGGTGAGGAGAAAGCCACAAATCCAACAGGCGCAAGGCAAGCACTGGCCACAGAGGAGGGTGGGGCGGTTCTATTTTTTTAATAAAAAATTAAAATCTATGGGGCTGGGAAGGTGGCTCCGTGGTGGAGTGCTCGCCTTGCATGCCTGAGGCCATGGGTTCGATTCCTCAGCACCACATAAGCAAAAAGAAAAAAGCCGGAAGTGGCGCTGTGGCTCAGGTGGTAGAGCGCTAGCCTTGAGCTGAAGAGCTGAGGGACAGTTCAGTCCCCACAACCGGACCCAAAAAACAAAAAAACAAAAAAAATTAAAATCTATAATCTGTGTTCAAACCAGCCCCCTTGTCACCTCTCACATGAATACTTTCCTCTTTTCTTTCTTAAATAAGCTTTAACCTTTTTTGGGTTTTTGGTCGGTTGTGGGGCTTGAACTCCGGGCCTGGGCGCTGTCCCTGCACATTTCAGCTCAAGGCGAGCGCTCTACCGCCTGAGCCACAGTGCCACTTCCGGTTTTCTAGTGATTTATTGGAGATGAGTCTCACGGACTTTCCTGCCCGGGCTGGTTTTGAACCGTAACCCTCAGATCTCAGCCTCCTAAGTAGCGGGGATGACAGGCGGGAGCCACCGGCGCCTGGCCAAGCTTTAACTTTTTGAAAAAAATTATAACAGTGATGTCCAGAGGGGTAAGGCGTGACTTTCCAGGGTTAACATGTGACCCTTGGCACCAGTGGCTCCCACGTGTAATCCCAGCACCTGGGGGGAATGAGGTTGTCTGGGAGGATCCCAGTTCAACACCAGCCCTAGCAGGAAAGTTCACAAGACCCCTTCTCAATGGAGAGCTGGATGCCACCCTGCACACCTGTCCTCCGAGCCACAGGAGGACAGTGTCAGTGGATGGCACCAAGTGTACGTCTACACAGGAAGCAGACTGCCTCAAAACAACCAGTAGTAAAGCCGGGCAGGTGGCTCGCGCCTGTCATCCTAGCTACTCAGGAGGCTGAGATCTCAGGATCACTGTTCAAAGCCAGCCAGGGCAGGAAAGTTTGTGAGACTCTTATCTCCAAGAAACCACTACAAAACCAGAAATGGTGCTGTGCTCAAGTGGTAGAGCGCTTGCCTTGAGCTGAACAGTGCAGGGACAGTGCCCAAGCTGGCCCAGAGTTCAAGCCCCAGACCAACCAATAAACAAAACAACAGTAAACTGGCTTGAAGGCATGGCTCGGAGGGAAACCCACTTGCCTAGCAAGAGTGAGGACCAGTGTTCAAATAGAGAAGAAAGCAAAGTGAACATGTCCTTTCATAGGAAAGTAGAAAACACTGAGAGCAGCATCCAGCCGGGCGTGGCTTCAGCTCCAAGGTTCCCCAGATGTGTATGGCCTCACAAGCAACCGTGCTTACCATGCAAACCCCGAAGCCTGGCCAGGGCCCGGTGGCTCATGCCTGTCATCCTCGCTACTCAGGAAGCTGAGATCTGAGGATCACATTTGGAAGCCAGCTCAGAAGTAAAGTCCTGAGACTCTTATCTCCAATTAACCACCCCTCCCCAAAAAAAAAAGTGAAGTAGAGCTGTGGCTCAAAGTGGTAGAGCACTATCCTTGTGTGGAAAAAACTGGGGAACAGCGCCCAGGGCCTAAATTCAAACCCCACAACTGACAAAAACAAATAAAAACCAAAGCCATGTGAGCAGCTTGAATACTAAGCATTTCTGGCCATCATTAACCAATCTGTGAGACAAGATAGAGCCTTTGCGTAGCTCACCCCATGCCTTGGCTTGAAGGAGAGGGAAAAGGACACTTCTAGATGCTTAAATAGATGAATTATGGCCAAGTACATGAGGCTCATGCTACTCAGGAGGCTGAGATCTGAGGATTGCAGTTTGAAGCCAGCCTGGGCAGAAACATATGAGACTTTTATTAACTAACAAAAAGTCAAATGTGGAATTGTTGTCAAGTGATATAGCGCCCCGGCCTTGAACAATAAAGCCAAGCAAGAGTGAAGGCCCTTGGTTCAAACTCAGCACGCACACACACACACACACACACACACACACACACCCCTCTGTTGATCATAATGAGAGCTGGGCATTGTGGTATACAGTTGTAATCCCGATATTCAGGAGACTGAGATAGGACATTTAAGACCAGCCTGGAATACATAACTTATGTGTCCATATCAAAACCTACACACAGATGTTTTCACCAGCTTTATTCACAATTGCCAAACGCAGAAGCCAATGCCCTTCAGTGGATGAGTGGATAAACCATGGCCCATACAGACAATGGAGTGCTAAAAAAGAAATAAGCCTCCATGTAGTCTCTGGCTACCCAATGACTCCAACTCTATGATCTGAGCAATGCAAAACTGTGAGGATGGGAAGATTTGTGACCTGGCAAGGACAGAAAGATGAGTAGGCAAAGCATGGGGCTTTCAGAGCAAAGAAATGGTCACTGGTGTCTGGTGAGATCTGTGAAGATCCCCTTCAAGAGATAGGGACCAGGGCTCAGCATTTTGCCCCAGGTCTTTGACCTAAGATCTTGGAATAAGAATTCCTTCACAAAAGTAAGAATTTGGCAGTGTTTAAGCAAGAAGAAGCCAAAGGCAGCTCTAAGGGGCAGAGCGAGGGTGCTCTGAGAAAGATGCTGTTGTTGATCAGGAGGATGTAGGGTGAAAAAGTGGGCTGGGAGTTGGCCCTAATCTGTCCTGGGTAAGTGTTCCCCTCTGTTCCCGATACCTGGTACTTTCTTGCTGGAACACTGTGATCTACTGGGCCCATGGATTTCAAAGTTGGTCTGCTGATTAAATCTGGGTCATTGTGACATAACTGTCCAAAATTCCTTTTGAACAAAGGAAGGGTTCTGCCAGATGGATGTCCTTAAGATGGATGTCCAACCTTGAGATAGCTATTATTTTTCTTTGCCAACACATTTGTGATCAGACAAGTCCTTTTCCCACGTGGCATTTTAAAATCTTTAAGGCTAAATGTTTCTTTTAGCTATTCATGTTCTGTTCCCAGAATGCAGTGATTACTTGGGCCAGCAGGCTGAGTCAGGGAGATGGAAGGTGTGTGTGTGTGTGTGTGTGTGTGTGTGTGTGTGTGTGTGTGTGTGTGTGTGTGTGTGTGTGTGTGTGTGTGTGTTAAGTAAATGTTGCAGCTGAGTAGGGAGTATAAGACTTAAAGGAAAGGCGGCACTGTCTGTGTGCCTCCCAGCTCGCTAGACGATGATAAGGTGCTTATCTCTGAATTCGGGCTGCTGTTTCCCACGCCTCACTCTCTGGGATCTACCCCTTCTCAAACCCAGCCAGATGGATGCATGTCATAAACCCCAGAGTGGACACCCCAAGAGTGAGCGGCTAGAGCAGACGTTGGTACTTTCTGCTCAGCTGGGGGTGGGCGGGGGAGGGAATGAAATGTGCCCTACCAAGTGAATGAAAAGTAGCACCTCTTCCCTAGGATAAGATGAAATGGGGTCCCACGCAGCCTGCTGTCTTGGGACAGGGCATTAATAGGTGTCCCATCCTCACTGGTGCCCGATTGCTGGACTTGCTGTTTTCTGTTCTCATCTCTGTTGTGTCCTCCTTCCTGTCCTCTGCAGCTCATTCTATTTAACTGACTTGAAACAACTCATGAATGCTTTCGTTTCTAATAAAGCATTTAAATTCTTAAGTCCCCATTCTAAGACTTGATTGGCACCACAAAACTTTTGAGATATATTTTTGGTCATGGGGCTTGAACTCTGGGCCTGGGTGCTATCCCTCAGCTCTTCAGCTCAAGGCTAGCGCTCTACCATGTGAGCCACAGTGCCAGTTCCAGCCTTTTCTGCTTATGTGGTGCTGAGGAATCGAACCCAGGGCCTCATGCACGCAAGGCAAGTGCTCTACCACTGACCCACCTTCCCAGCCCCAACTTTTGATATTTTGCTTGCATTGTTACTTAGTTCTAAGTGTACTGTGTGTGTGGTGTGAGTGTGTGTGTGTGGTGTGTGTGTGTGGTGTGTGTGTGTGGTGTGGTGTGTGTGTGTGGTGTGTGTGGTGTGAGTGTATTGTGTGTGTGTGGCGTGTGTGGTGTGAGTGTGTGGTGTGTGTGTGGTGTGTGTGTGGCATGTGTGGCGTGTGTGGTGTGTGTGGCGTGTGTGGTGTGTGAGTGTGTGGTGTGTGTGGTGTGTGTGTGGTGTGTGTTGAGTGTGTGGTGTGCGTGTGTGGTGTGAGTGGTGTGTGTAGTGTGTGTGGTGTGTATTGTGTGGTGTGTGTGGTGTGTGTGGTATATGTGTGGTGTGTGTGTGGTGTGTGTTTGAGTGTATTGTGTGTGTGAGGTATGTGTGTGGTGTGTGTATTGTGTGTGTGTGGTGTGTGAGTGTATTGTGTGTGTGGTGTGTGTGTGATATATATGTGGTGTATGTGGTGTGTGTATTGTGTGAGTGTGAGGTGTGTGGTGTGTGAGTGTATTGTGTGTGTTGTGTGTGTATATTCTGTGAGTGTGAGTGGTGTGAGTGGATTGTGTGTGTGAAGTGTGTGGTGTGTGTGTGAGTGTACTGTGAGTGTGTGGTGTGAGGTGTGTGTGTGAGGTGTGTATTGTGGTGTGTGTGGTGTGTGTATTGTGTGTGTGGTGTGTGTGAGATGTGTGGTGTGTGTGTATTGTGTGTGTGTGGTGTGTAGTGTGTGTGTGGTGTGTGTATTGTGAGGTGTGTGTGGTGTGTGTGGTGTGTGTGTGTGATGTCTAGTGTGTATTGTGTGTGTGAGGTGTGTGTGAGGTGTGTGTGGTGTATGTATTGTGTGTGTGGTGTGTATGAGATGTGTGGTGTATTGTGTGTGTGTGGTGTGTAGTGTGTATTGTGTATGATGTGTGGTGTGTATTGTGAGTGTGTGAGGTGTGTGTGTGTGTGTGAGGTGTGTGATGTGTGGTGTGTATTGTGTGTGATGTGTGTAGTGTGTGAGTGTGAGGTGTGTGGTGTGTAGTGTGTGTGTGGTGTGAGGTGTGTGTGTGGTGTGTGTGTGATGTGTGCGTGTGGTGTGTATTGTGAGTGTGATGTGTGGTGTGTATTGAGTGTGATGTGTGGTGTGTGTGATGTGTGGTGTGTGTGAGGTGTGTATTGTGTGTGTGAGGTGTGTGTATATTGAGTGTGTGTGTGTGTGAGAGGTGTGTGTGTGAGAGGTGTGTGTGTGTGGTGTGTATTGTGTGGTGTGTGTGTGTATTGAGTGTGTGTGTGTGTGAGAGGTGTGTGTGTGTGGTGTGTATTGTGTGGTGTGTGTGTGTATTGAGTGTGTGTGTGTGTGAGAGGTGTGTGTGTGAGAGGTGTGTGTGTGAGAGGTGTGTGTGTGTGGTGTGTATTGTGTGGTGTGTGTGTGTGTGAGAGAGGTGTGTGTGTGCGCACGCGCACACTGGTCCTGCGGCCCCACGCAGGGCCCGAGCTCTGTCCTTGAGCTTCTTGCACCACAGCTCCCGTCGCTCTTCTGGTGGTTCTTTGGAGGTAAGAGTCTCCCGGACTTTCCGGCCCGGCTGGCCTTGAACCCGGAGCTCCGGTCTCAGGCTGCGTGTGCGCCTTTTGTCTGCAGGGCTGTGTCTGCAAGGCAGGGGTGCGCCACTTAGACCACGGCCCCGTCCCGGCTTTGCGTCGCTCGGACAGCCGGGACTCGCCGGGTGCTGCCGGCCGACCCCATCCGGGTAACTGGCGGGGGGAGGGGGAGAGGGGGGGAGGGTCGCGCGCGCCCGCGGCGGCACCGCCCCGCCCCTCCGCGGGCGGGCGCGCGCACGCATTTCGCAGCTTGACCGTAAAGCGAGGCGCGGGCGTGTCGTGAAAGGGGCCGCAACGCGCAGAGTCCGGTTGACGACCACCGTTTTGGTTGACGGCCGGGACTCCATTTTGTCCGGGGCTGCTCTGCTCGCAAGTCGCTGCTCTCCGCGTCTTCTCTCGGGGGGAAAAGTTTCCGAGGGGGAAAAGTTTCCGGGGAGACCCCGGAGCAGAGGCCGAGCGCCGCGCGCGCCCCGCCTTGCGCCCCGCAGACGCCGCCCGCGCGGACCCGAAGCGGCGAGGAGATGCGGCCCCTGGACGTGGCGGAGCCGGCCGAGCCCGGGGAGGTGGAGGTGCTGGAGCCCGAGGAGGACTTCGAGCAGTTCCTGCTGCCCGTCATCCGCGAGATGCGCGAGGACGTGGCGGCGCGGGCGCGCGCGCGGGCGCGGCCCCGCGGCAAGCTGTGGGGGGCGGGGCGCGCGCTCGTGCCCGCGCGGACGCAGGTGGAGGCCGCGGAGGAGAGCGCCCTGAACCGCCTGCAGCAGGGCGCGGGCGCCGCCGACAAGGCCGCCCGCAGCGACAAGGCCGACGAGAAGGCGCAGGAGATGGCGAAGATGGCCGAGATGCTGGTGGCGCTGGTGCGGCGGATAGAGAAGAGCGCGTCGTCGTCGTGAGCCGGGCGGGCGCGGTGAGCGCGGCGGGGCGTGGACGTCCGGGGGGGCGGGGGGGAGCGGGAGCGGGGGCCCGGGGAGCGCAGTGGGGGGGAGCCCCGGGAGCGGGGGGCCCACGGGGAAGCGCAGTGGGGGGGAGCCCCGGGAGCGGGGGCCCCCCGGGGAGCGCAGTGGGGGGGAGCGGGAGCGGGGGCCCGGGGAGCGCAGTGGGGGGGAGCCCCCGGGAGCGGGGGGCCCCGGGGAGCGCTGGGAGCGCAGTGGGGGGGAGCCCCCGGGGAGCGCAGTGGGGGGAGCCCCGGGAGCGGGGGCCCGGGGAGCGCAGTGGGGGGGAGCCCCCGGGAGCGGGGGGCCCCGGGGAGCGCTGGGAGCGCAGTGGGGGGGAGCCCCCGGGTGTGGGGGGGCCCACGGGGAGGTGGGGAGCCCCCAGGGAGCGCAGTGGGGGGGAGCCCCGGGAGCGGGGGGACCCCGGGGAGCGCTGGGAGCGCAGTGGGGTGGGGAGCCCCCGGGGAGCGCAGTGGGGGGAGCCCCCGGGGAGCGCAGTGGGGGGGGAGCCCCCGGGGAGCGCAGTGGGGGGGAGCCCCCGGGAGCGGGGGGCCCCGGGGAGCGCTGGGAGCGCAGTGGGGGGGAGCCCCCGGGTGTGGGGGGGCCCACGGGGAGGTGGGGAGCCCCCAGGGAGCGCAGTGGGGGGGAGCCCCGGGAGCGGGGGGACCCCGGGGAGCGCTGGGAGCGCAGTGGGGTGGGGAGCCCCCGGGGAGCGCAGTGGGGGGAGCCCCCGGGGAGCGCAGTGGGGGGGGAGCCCCCGGGAGTGGGGGGCCCCCCGGGAGCGCAGTGGGGGGGAGCCCCCGGGTGTGGGGGGGCCCCAGGGAGCGCAGTGGGGGGGAGCCCCGGGAGCGGGGGGACCCCGGGGAGCGCTGGGAGCGCAGTGGGGTGGGGAGCCCCCGGGGAGCGCAGTGGGGGGAGCCCCCGGGGAGCGCAGTGAGGGGGGAGCCCCCGAGAGTGGGGGCCCCCGGGGGGCGCAGTGGGATGGGGAGCCTCGGGAGCGGGGGCCCCGGGGAGCGCAGTGGGGTGGGGACCCGCCGGGAGCGGGGTTACCCCCCCAAGAGCGCGATGGCGGCGCACGCCCGTGCTCGCTGCTCTCTTGGGCGCACTCCACAGGGGACAGGCAAAGCCGGGGTCGTTTTCCTGTCCCCACACGGGGTGCGCCCTCACCCGGGGTGCAGTCCCTTAGAGAGATCGTACAACTCTCAGCCCCAAAGTCGGGCGAACGCGGCCCACCCTGCGGCGCCGCGCAGAGCCAGCCCCCAGAGCTTTCCAGATTTTGCTAGAAGACCGAGGGGCATCACTACACCCCTTCCCGCGGGGCCCCAGCGGGGGGACGTCACCGCGCCAGGATTAACCCCTTGTTGACCGAGTCTCTCTATCTGCCGTAGGTTTCCAGCCAGTGGATTCTGGTCGCGTGATGGAGGAGCTGGAACCAGAGAGCCTTTTGTTTTTTTCCCTTTTTTCTCTGTCTGCACTCTGTTCTCACTTACACTGCGTTTCTGCGATGGTCTGTGGTTGATGACCTCAATAGGCGTTCTGATGGTTGGATGTTTTGTTTGGGGAAATAACGTGTATTTGGAAAACGCTCCCATGCGCACGATTAGGGCCCGGATTGTGAGCTCTCGCGAAGTCACGCGTGTTCTGGGCTTTGGTGGTGGTTTGTAAATTCTGAGGTGCTTTGATCTTTCCCGTGTGACCTGATCGCCCCCTGGAACTTTGCGTCTGTGTGCGTGCATGAGCTCTGGAGGTGCTGAAGGGGCTGCGTTATAGAAGACTCCGGGAAGCGCTGCTGAAGAAGGGGCCAGACTCGAGCTGGGAACGTGGGTGGGCCCGACCTGGCTGGGACTGATGAGCGCGAGAAGGGGGGAGGTGGATTGTTTGCATTTGGGGACTTTAATTCCTGTGTGAGACCAAAGGAGGAGAGATGTATTTTGTTCAAATTTTAAATTTTATGTGACACACTGTCTGATGTAACCCATTTGGTGAATTTGTTTAGACAACCTAACTCGGCTCTATCTGACCTGGAACCTAGATGAGACCCTGACACTCCATACAAGCTGATGTCATACCCTCCTGCATTTTCGGGGTGTCTAGGCATAAAGTTAAAGGTTTGCGAAGAAACATGGAAGTATCTGCAGTGGACGCTCAGTGGGCAGAGAGGAGGCATCTGGGAGGTCCGTCTGTTGTCCAGCTCCGTTCATTTCAGTAGCAGACCTGACAAGTGTTTGAGGTCAAAACCCTACCGTGTTTGAAAAACAAAAAGTAACCTTACCATGTTAATAAAGTATTCACTTGCTTGAAAAGACAAAAAATTAAGAATTTTTGTTTAAGGATGAAGTCTTCTTGAATATTCTTGCTTCCGAAACTCTGGGCCTCTGACAGAGGGTGGGGGGGTTGGCTCTGCTGGAATCCCAGTAAAGAATGTTCTTGGTGCCTGGCTGGTGGCTCTCGCCTGTAATCCTAGCGACTCAAGAAGCTGAGATCTGAGGATCTTGGTTCAGAGCCAACTGGGGCAGGAAAGTCTGTGAGACTCATCTCCAATAAACCACCAGAAAACCAGGAGTGGTGCTGTAGCTCAAAGAGTACCTTGCCTTGAGCTGAAGAGCCCAGCGACAGTACCCAGGCCCAGAGTTCAAGCCCCATGACCAAAGTATGTGTGTGGTGAGAGGTGGGGTGGGAATATACTTGGTTTTCAGTTTGGGAATGAACTTGACGGAACCCTATAGTTTAGGCCTGCCTTACCTTCTCACAGCCAAGCTATCTCCAGTGTTTCAATTTAGGACTATCTTAGCATCTTCACTAGGCATGTGGATTGCCATACAAAGATCAAGTGCAGAATGGAAGGGTAGGTACAATGATGCACAGCCCCTTCCTAAGGGAGAGCTGTATCCCCAAGCTGCAGAAGGTGGGGTCAGCCACACCCCTTTCCAGGGAGGCCTATATCCTGAAGGCCCTGCCTCATTACAGCCTGGGGTAGTGTGTCCTTCCCTTACACAGAAGTTGGGTCCTGAAGAACTCAGCTTTGTTCTAGTTTTCACTTTATGAGAGTGCTTCCTGGGGGAGCTAGCTGGTAGGATATGAAATGAAGTCCTGCTCAGGAGTTCTAATGTAGAAATGCTCAGGGGAGCTCACTGGAAGCTCACTTGGAATTCTAGTTACTAAGGAGGCTGGGATCTGAGGATGACAGTTCAAAGCCAGCCCAGGCAGGAAAGTGTGAGACTCTTACCTCCCAATTTAACACCAAAAAGCCAGAAGTAGACCTTTGGTTCCAGTGATGAAGAGCTAACCTTGAGACCCATTCAGGGTCTGAGTTCAAGCTCCAGGACTTAACTTGGGAGGCCCAGGACAGCTTCCTAGAGAAACAATTTGGAAGAGCTGCTGGGAATTTCAATCTAGAATGTTGGGAAAGGACAGGGATCCTGGAATCCACCTTGAGAACCAGTCTAAGACAGGGATTCTCCACCTGGGAGAACTTGGGAAAGCAGAAGGCTAGGCCCTTCAACAGGCCTGCTCTGGACACTGTCCTGGGGGCCCGGGGGGGGGGGGGGGGGGGGAGCAGCCTTCCAGTGGCCTGACAGCTACAGCCTCATAAACAGTAGGTGACTGTTCACTGTAAACCCACAATCACTTTAATGTCCACCGTTGCCTTTGCAGCCTTCCCTGCCTCGCCTGCTGTATTACAAATTTGTATTACACAATGCACCTTAGGGCATGTGACTGCTGTGTGATGACTCAGGATAATGATCTCTGGAGATGGTGGCTACCATGGAGACACAGGGTCCAGGCCTCACTGAGCCGCCAGCACCCCCTACTGTTGATGCTCAGACTGCATTTGGATTCTATTTGGTCCTTTGGTAAGGATGCTGCTTTCTAGGTCACATACACAGGCCTTCCGACTCTCTAAGAGATCCTCCAAGCAGACCTGGGACCTAGGGCCCTGCAGGATTCCTTGAGCAGCGCGGGAAGGCGGGGCCTTGTGTTCCCTTCACACCTGTGTCTTAACCCTTCTCCAGATGAGAGCTAGAATGGGCCTAGTCTCCATCTGAGGCTCCATTCTTACCCAGTGGTTGTGTGGAGTGCAGATTTGTGGAAACCAGATAGTTTAGAGCTGCATGAGAAGGGACACCTACAAAGTAAGCAGGGCACAAAGATCAAAGCGTAACTGGACACGTGTCCCCTGTGTACTTGCCATTCCAAGGCACTCTGTCAGTCCAAAGACATTACCCTTCCAAAACTGAAACTGTCTCCTGCATAATATAATGCAATCCAAACTGGGCCTAAAACATTGCGGGCTAAGTTAGGCGCCGGTAGCTCATGCCTGTAACCAACCCTTGCTACTCAGGAGGCTGAGATCTGAGGATCCCAGTTCGAAGCGAGCCCATGCAGGAAAGTCTGTGGGACTCTTATTTCCAATTAACACCAAAAAGCCAGCAGTGGGGCTATGGCTCAAGTGGTAGAGCAATAGCCTTAAGCAAAAAAGCTCAGGGACAGAGCCCAGGCCCTGAGTTCAAGTCAAAGGACCAACACATACAAATGTTAAACAGGCTAATTCCTGTAATGTCACATGAACTAGGGTAGCTCAAGGCCTCTAAAGCCCATAGGGCCTTTGTAGGAAGTCAGCTAGACCGGCACTGAGCCCTGTGAAATACAGAAGCCATGCAAATGCCGCCTGCTCCCAGGGAAGGCCAGTCAGGGTGAGACCTTAATTAACCACGCCTGTGACATGAATTCGGCATCTCCCTAGAGCTGAAGGGACAACAAACTGCTCAAGGATCTGGATACTTAACACAGGTGCCCTGGTGGTGTTTGTGACTGCCCTGCCCTGCTCGTCCTATTACTTTGCCAAAGCAGAACTCAACCAACGCTCTGGAGGTGGATCCCTGGCAGAAGCCAGGGCGGACCCCGGAGCAGTTCCCAGCCTCCAGAAAGCCTTTGCTGGAAGTTCTTCCTTGGACTGAGTTTGCTGGTGTCCCTATGGATAATAAATACTTGTGAAATGACTCTGGTTGCAGACCAACTAGCTATTTCCTTCAAACCTCAGTGTCTTCTCTCCACACAACTCACTGGATGGACTCAGCTTGGTAAAACTACAGGTGACCCTGGCATACCACAAACCCTGTTGAACAAAGCTAAAGACAAATGAGCCTTGTGTGTCAGCCACCAGCACTCCAGTGTTTTCCCACCGTCCCCTCCCTCCCTTTTCTTCTTTCTGTGCCAGTATTGAGAGTTGAACTTAAGGTCTACACACTGTTCCTTAGGTTTTTCACCCTAGGCTAGTACTACTAGCCTTTTACTGGTTAGTTGCCTTCTTACTAGCTAGGATTACAGGCAAGAGCCACCAGTGCCCAGCACTGGGGCCATTTTCTAACTAGCACTGGAGATGTTAATAGTTTCTGAGAAAGGTCAGGGCATTCTAGATGGATGGCCACAGCCCCCCTTTAACAAGCTGAGCACGAAAGCACTTCCTCCTGCCATCCCCCCCCTCTGCTGCCACCCACCTCACATTTCTGTCTGTAGGTCCCCAGCAAATCATCGCTGTGCAAACCTGGATCCACCTCGCCCTTGCTTTGACCATTTCACCCCTTCCTCCCCACTCTGGCAGCTGGTTCTCATAGCTGGGACCAGGCTTTTCTGCAACATTCAGTAATTAGACGGGTCGTGTTATTACTCATTGACTGACTGGTAGAGAGAAGGGAGATGAAAAAGACACAGGTCAGTGGATCAGCCCGGAGGTCATCCCGCAGTGGGCCCAAGGAGGTTGGGGACGTGCGTGCTCCTGTCCCCTCAGTCCCGGTACCTCAGCCACTGAGCTCGGGGCCCCCATCTTTCTGAGTGTGTTTAATGAGCTCCATCTGTGGAGAGCAGCCTGGAGGAGAGGCCGGCCAGGAGATCGGGGCCTGGGGCCCCGAGAGGGCCCCCGGGGCCGTGTCAGCGGCCCGCAGCCGGCTGGGTGGGGGGAGAGCAGCGAGGCGCGCGCCCGGCGGCCAGATCCGCTTCCACGACGGCGCTGACGGGAAGCGCCCCGGGCCGGCTCTGCGTGCCTCGCTCCCCTCGGCCCGGCCCGAGCCGCGACGGCAGCCTTCGAAGGCAGCCGGGGCGCCTGGGGACGCGCGCGGGGACACACGCGGGGCAGGGCTCGTCCGGCGGGCGGGCCTCCCGGCGGGCCCTGCGCGAGGCCGCAGACCCGGCCCCAGACCAAGGCGCGCCTCCGCCGGAGCCCGGATGTGAGGGCGTGCACGTGCTGGGCGCCCGGGCCGTCCCCGGGACGCTGACATCCCTTCCACCGTACTTTCCAGAAGAACCGCCTCGGCGCCGACGGGTCCGGACCCCCCTTTCGTGCCACACGACCTTTGCCCCCGAGGACCTCACAGGGGACTCCCCCCACACTCCCTTCGGGAGATCGCTACACGAACAGGTGGGTGGGCGTGCGCGTTCCGGCGCACACGTGCGCGCGCAGGGCGGTGAGAAGGGGGCGGGCGGGCGCGCGCCAACGAGGGCGCGCGGGCGGGCGGTGGCACAGTGACGTATATTGCGGGCGCCGGAAGCGGGGGCGGGCGCCGGAAGCGGTCGCGGCGGGCCATGGCGGGCAGCCCCGCAGGTGCCGAGCTGCCGCGCGAGGCGCCGGCCGAGGAGGCCGAGCCGCCGGGCGCCGCGTGGAGCGGGGACAGCGGCACGGTGTCCCAGAGCCACAGCAGCGCCTCGGGGCCGTGGGAGGACGAGGCTGGCGAGGACCTGCCGCTGCTGCGGCGCGCCGCGGCGAGCTGCGCCGCCTGCCTGCTGCCCGGCGCCGGGACGCGGCCCGAGGTGGAGGCCCTGGACGCCGGCCTCGAAGACCTGCTCTCCAGGGTGGACGAGTTCGCGGGCATGCTGGACATGATCCGCGGCGACTCGTCGCACGTGGTGAGCGAGGGCGTGCCGCGCATCCACGCCAGGGCCGCGGAGATGCGGCGCGTCTACGGCAGGATCGACAAACTCGAGGCCTTCGTGAGGATGGTGGGCCGCAGCGTGGCCCGGATGGAGGAGCACGTGGCCAAGGCGGAGGCCGACCTGGGCGCCTTCCCCAAGGCCTTCACGAAGCTCCTGCACGCCATGCACGTGCCCGCCCTCTTTAACCGGGCGTCCCCCGCCCGGCCTCAGCACGCGGCCTTTGAGCCACCCGCCCTGTTTCGGACCGAAGACCACTTCCCGTGTTGCAACGACAGACCCCAACTCTGAGTCAAACTGCACGAGAACCCCAAAGAAGAGCCTGAAGCATTAGCTGAAGATCGTATTACTTCCTATATGATGTTGCGGAATGGAATTTTAAAGTTCATTTTCTGCAGACCATTTCGCTTCCTTGATCCTGATACAAAGTGCGGTCTTCCAATTCTAACTTGAAGGCTGCTGGGTGGGGGATGGGAAGCCACATGAATGAACTTGTCCTCTACAATAGCGCTGTTCTTTGTGGATTTTCCTACTCAACTAACAGTGTTATCTTTTCAAGATTTATATATTTATTACTGTGAGAAAAATTACCAAGCCATTAAAGCCTTATTAATCATAATTGTGATTCTGTCTTCTATAGCCTACTTTTACAGTAGAGGGTTTATTATGTAGCATTCTTTTTAACTTTCCATAGCATGGGTTGTAAATGAAAGAAAATTAGACGAATTCCAAGGAAACGTTGATTTTTTTTTGTTTGTTTGTTTACAATGAATTATGAAGTTGTATTTGGCAATATAACCCTGTAGTTTTGGTTTATCCATAGGGAGCAAGTCTGTATGGTTATCCTTGCTGGGTCTGTAACTGAAGTACTAGGTAAAGTTTTTAGTTTTACTGGAAAAACTTTCCTGAGAAATATTTCACTTATGTCCCAATTTGCTTTAAAATAGGCATGCTGTTCATGATCTTGGGAGTGAGATAAAGCCAGCTTGGAAGTACCATCTGTGCCTGATATGAAAAACTAACCTCAGCTACTGTAACATCAATGTATCAGTTGAGAAGCCATTTGAGTGAAAGAATGTTGTTAGGATTTTGTTCTTTCACCCTGTCCACAAGTCTCTTGCATATACAAACTGACATGAATTTTAGATAGTAACATTGAAGAAGCACTAAGTTTATGTAGTTATTTTGTGTCTGGACACATCTTTGAGGTTCTTAGAAAAGGTGTTGTAATCTGTTTACCTAGCAATGAAGGAGTTGGGGTGATGGTATTCACACCAATCACAGGCCTTCATACAAATGAAAGTGCACCAATCACAGGCCTTCTACTGACCACCAGGGGAAGTAGTCCCCCTTCAATAAGATCATCTAGAATTCACTGGGCCTTATGAGAAGTCCTGTGCAAGCTGTTTGAAAGCAGTGGTTACATTGTCAATTCCTCAAAGTAAGAATTCCTTAGAAGAAGAATATAGCAGGGCGCTGGTGGCCCACGCCTGTAATCCTAGCTACTAGGAGGCTGAGATCTGAGAATCACCGTTCAAAGCCAGCCTGAGCAGGAAAGACCATGAGACTCCTATCTCGAAGTGGCGCTGTAACTCAAGTGGTAGAGCACTCGCCTTGAGCTGAAGAGCTGAGGGACAGCGCCCAGGCCCAGAGTTCAAGCCCCATGACTGACAAAAAAAAAAGAATATAAATGGGGCTATAGGAAACAGGTGTGGTTGAACACAGCTGTAATCTTACCACTCAAAAGGTTAAGTCAGGAAGAGCTGACTACTATGCCACTTCATAGAGGTCAAATTGAGATTAGAATGAGACTATCTTAAGAGAATGACCAGGCTCTGGTTGTTCACACCTCTCAAGAGTCTAGATCTGAGGATCTTGGTTTGAAGCTATCCTTGGGCAGGAAAGCCCATGAGATTCTAATCTCCAATAAACTACCAAAAAGATGGGTGAAAGTAGAACTGTGTTTCAAGTGGTAGAATACATAAAGAAGCTCAGGGACAGTGCCCAAGGTCCTGAGTTCAAGCCCTAGGACCGGTACCATTAAAAAATGGCAGCATATAATACGTATACTCCTCTTTTTTCCTTTGTTATTTTCTTTCTTCCTTTCCCTCCTTCCTTCCTCTCTTTTCTTCCCCTCTCCCTCTTTTCTGTACTGGGGCTTGACCTTTAAGCTACCCCTCCAGCCTCTTTTTGCATTGGTTGTTTTCAAGGTAGAGTCTTGCTTTATGCCTAGGCCAGACTGGGCTGCAATCTTCCTATTTGCACTTTCCTGTGTTGCTGGAGATGACAGGCAGGCATCACCATGCCCCAGCCACAAGCTGAGATGAAGTCTCATTTACTTTTTGTCTAGAATGGTCTCGAACCACAATCCCCCCCCCCCTCCACCATCCAAATCGTGAGGGTTGCAGGCTTGAAGAACCCTACCCAGCTAAAATGCACACCCTTGAGCGTGGCACCCTTGAGAGCCATCCATCTAACCACACATGTAAAGAGCACATTCCTTTTGTTCTTGCTATGCTCACATGGCCAATGAGGCCTTTTCTGAGGAAGAGACTTTGACCTCTCTTTTTTTCTTCCTAGGTCCTTGGCTCCATGGAGGCTGGAAACCCTGTTCTGGGAGCCTCAACTCTGGCTCTAACCCTCAGGACCCTGCCAGAGGTACTCTCATCCCCATGCTCCTGGGCCACAGCCAACATGCCCTGAACTGGTGATTCCTGAGACCAGTCCCACATCCTCCAGCTCAGCCATATGTGAGCATACAGAGGAGACAGTGTCATTTGCTTGTCACCTAGCCAGAGGTTCCCTGCATGCCTTGAAGGCCACTCTAGCACATAGCTACCAACCACTACACCATCGCACCTCCTCTCTTAGCTGACAGCTTTACCTAAGATGGTCTAGGGTGGAGAGCCTCTGGCAGGTGGCATCATCTGTGCTAAGAGCAGAAAAAGGATAAGGGGGCAGAGCAGCATGTGCAAAGACCCCTTTAGTTATTCATCTTAGGCATTTGGTCATGAAAATATAAATGCAAGAAACATCGGTATGTAGGATTTCCTTTCTTGATTTTTAGTTTAGTTCTATTTTGAACTGAGAACAGACATGGTATTTTTCGTTGTTGTTATTGGTCATGGGGCTTGAACTCTGGGCCTGGGTGCTATCCCTGAGCTATTCAGCTCCAGGTGAGCACTGTACCCCTTGAGCCACAGTGCCACTTCCAGTTTTCTGGTGGTTATTTGGAAATAAGAATCTCACATGCTTTCTTGCCTGGGCTGGCTTTGAACTGCGATCCTCAGATCTCAGCCTCCTGATTAGCTAGGATGACAGGCGTGAGCCACAGGTGTCTGGCTATGTTATGGTTTTTACTTTAATTTTAAGATACATTTTACAGCCCAGAGTGTGGTAACACGCAGTCTTTCCATGATGTTTATGAGTAGAGAGAGAAGAGTCCATGGCACCAGGCACACAGTGGTCTGTGTGGGGACTGTGCTTCTTGGCTACTCATCCTGCTGGGCAGGGGACAAGTCTAGGGTGGTGGCAGTGGTGCTCACTCAGGACCTTCACATTGAAAGAGGTTGGAAAACCACACCCTTGCAGAGGGAAGGTGTGGATGCACGTGTGTGCAGAAGGCATTGTCACCAACTTCTAACAGCATGGGATGATGTTCTTCACAGGGGGCTGTGCCTTCCTAGCAAGGGAGAGAGAAAGAGCAGTGTGTCGGAATGCCGCTAGACACCCACTCCCAGGGCCAGATCACATGTGTTCACGCTCCCTCTGCCCTCTTAAGCTCCCTTACTCTTGGAGCCATGTTTATGTGAGCTGTTCCTCACTTTTCCTGCCCTAAAGTGGGTTTTTAGAGCAGAACCTAACTCCTCTTTAGCTCTCCAGAAAGACAGTACCTGAAATGACCAGCAGGGGGTGTTTGAGCTGGGGACCCTTAGAAGGAAGGGGGTGGGGAAACTTCCTGGAGGACCTGGTCTGGACAGAAACCTGTGACACTGGATGCGAGGGAGGCGGGGCTGATGCACCGGCACCAGCGCTGGCAGTAGCTGTAGGTGACATTCATGACATCTAGACTCGATCCTGGGCTCCCTGGCAGCTTGGCAATGGGAAAGAGCAGGGGCTTGAGCATCTGATACACCTGCCTCTTTCCTGCTGTATCCTAGCTGGGGAACCTCAGACAGGCCACTGCCCTCTTTGAGCCTCTGTTTTCTCATTTGTGAAGTGGGAACGAGAGTGCCCCTGCCTGTAGTTGCACCAAGGCTTATTGGGTCTGATAACCTGACCAGCCCTCAACAGCAGTGGGCCCAATCCTGTAGTGGAAGCAGCCTGGGGTTGAATCTGCAGCGGATTGCTGTGGAGGAGCACAGCTAGCAAGAAGTGAGAGAGGTGACCCTGGTTTACGAGCATGGAGGCTGGGAGACCAGGCAGGCAAGAGGTAAGGGATGGAGAGAAATCAGAAAGAAGATACCAGACTCATGGACTAGCTGCACGTGGGGCAGGGAAGGGGGCAAGGAAGGCCAGCCCAGACCTTCAGTGTAGGCACTGGGAGAATGGAGGTGCCCATCACAGAGGCTGGTGGCTTGGTTTAGGGGAGGCTGGCAAGGAATTCTGAAGGGTGCCACATGGAAGCTTCCAGGCCTTTAGAAATCGTGATTTTCATCTTTTCTCTGAGTCCTTCTGAGCTACCTGCAGAGCTGGGCCAGGCCAGTGCTCAGCTCCCATCCACCATGGGCTTCTGCTGTCATAAAACAGCACCAGAAAATTCTAGGAAACAGAAATGAAAAACTAAAGGTAGACAGAAAAGCCCCAAACATGTCTTCACCAATGAGGTGAGACTATCCCAGAGAATACAGACGGCCCACGCGCTCTCTGTACTGCTTCACTGACTTCTTATCCTCATGCCTGGCCAGTTCCCCTCTCCACCGGCTCACTTCCTGCCACAGGTGGGAAAACAGAGGCCAGACAAAGGAGCAGAGGCTCCAGGGCATCCTGAAGTCAACCCCAGTGCAACAATCCCTGGTGTTTTAGCTTCTGATAGTTCTTCCAAGTGTAAAGTCAGCTGGAGACACAATTACTGCTTGATGGAAATGGACGGACAGCAGCCTGCATGCTCCTCTAGGGCCAGAGAAGTTAAGTCAACTGCCTGTGATCACACAGCCTGCAGGGAGCAGAAGCAGAGTGGAGCCCAGCAGGCTGGCTCCTGTCTTTGCGTTTAGCTCGCCTGAACAGCTTCATTCATATGCACATTGTTCCTTCTTGTCTTCTTTTTTTTAGGCCTAAGACCAGAACTCAAACTCAATACCCGATGCTTTCATTCATTGCCTAGTACTCTACCAACTGAGCCACGGCCTCCAACACTCCCTGGACCACTCCAGGGAGAGGGACCAACATACAAAACACACGGAGGTCAGTGAAGCAAACCAAATTTTAAACTTTTTAAACAAAACTAAAGTCTGATTATAGGAGATGGACGTGATAGCCTGGGTCTGATGGTTGACTTGGGGAAGGGAGAGCCCTGAGCCACTTCTTCCCAGTTCAAAGGGAGCTATGGACCCTTCAGTGACTCTGCTTCAGTGTCTTTGCCCTGGGGAATCCCAGGAGTCATTGGAGGCTTTCCTGGGTGGTCCACTAAGTGGTCACCCACAGGGCTGCACATCAGGCTCCATCCACCCTGGCACTGCTGACAATAGCAACACTCAGTATTTGTAAGCTCTCTGGACATGCTGCCTGTGGTCACTAGAGGGCAGTGTGATGCCGCTGGCATCCCTGTGATACACACTGCGCGTAAGCTAGTTATTGTCACTGAGGACAAGGAGCTAGCTCAGTGTGAAACGCCCCCTCCCTTCCTGCTTTGGAGACCCAGTCCTCAGAAGTTTCCCCTTGCTCCAGCCAGCCTTATCTCTTGGGGATTAGCTGTCCACTGAGCCTGGCTGCTATACACTGAGTATACACTAAAGGTCGCTAGGAATGTGCCCCAGTACTGGCGGTGGGAGGTCATTCCTGGAAGGGTTCTGGACAGAAATGCTGAGCACAACAAAACCAGGAACTTTGTCACTTAATATCTTCTTTAGATCCCGGGCTGCCACTCCGCAGGACTGCAAGAATGAGAGAAGACATCCACAGCCCTCCCTTTAGAAGAGCCCAGAAACACTGGACCACTGCGACCACCTACCTTCCCTGGGGGGGCGGGGGGGAATCACACAGAAGCTTCTCCCTTGGGCAGAAGAAGTTGGTTAGAAGGCGAAGAACCTCATCTGCCGCCGCGCAGGCTGGTGGTTAGGAAGGCTCTTTCTCTCCTGTCCCTCTGCCTCCAGACCCGATGGTTCCCTCGGCAGCAGTGATTCAAACAGGAGCAGTTCAAGGCCCCAAGGCCCTGCACTGGCTCTGCAATGTGCTGCACAGATCTCATCCTCATCTGCCTGCTGTTCCGCCTGCCCCTGGGGTCTCCCTGTCAGCCCCATGTTTGGTGAGGCTTATTCTGGGAGAGCCCCATGATGAGGCACCCGTGTTGGTCAGAGGGCTGGGGGCAGGGTCCCGGGAGACAGCCAGCGTCTCTGCCGGAGCCCCAAGCACACAGAGGACGGGCAGGGGCAGGGGCAGGGAGTCCACGGCTGACAGCGAGCCCCTCTCAACAGCCCACCCTTGTGGCCTTGCAGGGGGTTCTGTGCCAGCCGGGCAGCCTGCCTACACGCCACACACGACCCTTCTCACCCCATACTGTAGCACATGCACGCCCCACCCCCGTGGTGAGCTCCACCCCCACAGGGGTCAGAGGTCAGGGCTGGGGGGGGCCCTGGGTCCTCCCTGGCAGCAGCGTTCTCTGTTCTGCTTCTCATGCTCACCCTGCGGTCCCTGCAGGCCCTCACTTTCTGGAGGTGTTGGGGAACATGCGCACAGAGCTTCCCCTACCTATGGGTTGGAAATTTAAAGTTGTGGTTTGTGTCCTGAGGGAGCAGGGAGGAGGAGGGGGGGGAGGAGAGGGGCAGGAAGAGGAGGCAGAGGAGGCAGCAGGCGTGGCCCTCTCCCCGTGCTGGAGGGGTCCCCAAGGCCTCCAGATTTGCACTGAACTACCTGTGCCCAGGCCGTGGCCGGGGAGGAGGCAGATGGGCCTCGTGCGTGTTGGCTCTGTCTCAGGCCATGCTGTCCTCCCTTCATAATGATCTTCTTCTTCCTGGCCGCTCTCTTGGCCCCCAGACCACGGGCTCAGTGAGCTATTCTGGGCGCCTTGCCTGCCCACCCTGGACACACTCAGGCCTTCTGTCTGCCCACGCCGACCTGTGGAACTTTCATAATGCAGCCTTGTTCCCCCCACTGGACAGGCACCCACGTCTGTTCCTGGGGGCCACGAGAGGAGGGGGCAGTGCCAGCTGGGGGGGGGGGGTCTGCACTTGGCCAGTTTCTAGGAAGACATGGGCTATGTGTGGCCAGCACGGGGGCCACCTCTTTGTCGGCAGCCCCTCCAGCTTCTGTAAGAGCAGAAGGCCGCTGCCCAGCTCCCCTGAGAGAGGCTTCCTGCTGAGGCCACAGGGGCGCAGAGCCTCGGCACAGGCTGTGCAGCTGAGCCTCCTGCCGCTGCCTCCTTTCTCCTCCTTCAAGGCTGAGCGTAGGTTTTCCTCTTTCTTGTTTCAACAGGGTTCCAGAGCTGAGGACTTCTTTGTCTCATCCCCCTGTTTGGATTTCACCACGGATAATCCAAAAGGGTCCCCTGACCCCTCTGTCTCCTCTGTACACTGAAACGCTTCAGGGGTCCAGGAAAACTGCACCTGGCTCAGCCATGCTCCCTGGAGCCTAACCCAGCACCTGCCTCAGTCACAGCAAGGCTCACTGGTGAACGCATGAGCCACCCAGTCAAGATCAGCAATCAACCTGTGCATCCGTGAAGCGGTAATTCAGTGCATTCATTCACTAACGAGACCAGGAGACACAGGCAGAAGACAGATTTTTCTCTCTAGCAGGAATCCTTGTCTAAGACATATTTTTATTCATTTGCTCTTTCTCCCTCACCTTTAATCCCTTCCTGGGCAGAAGCAGGACAGGTTCCCATAACCCACAACGAGTCCCAGGCAGGGGACACCAGGCCTGGCACACACAAGGCACAAGGAATGCTAATTGAGTAGCTAAGCCAATGCCATTTGCATGATCTCGGGACCTTTGTTTGCACCTGCTGCGTCATAAGCCTAGATTCTGCACACACACAGCCTATGTGAAGATGGCCACTTCCTGCTGGTCTCAGTGAAAACATCCTTTCCTTGGGGAAGCTGTTCTGGCTGCCTTTTCCACAGCTACTCTATCCAGCACCTGCTTGGCTCCTTCCTGGATCTCCTTGGCAGAGGTAATAGCTGTTCACCTGCTTCTGTTCCAATATGGATACTGACCTAAGCCGTCTGCCTCTCTCTGCGTCCTCTGTCTAAGCAGGTCTTGTGGGATGATCATATGGTCTGCTGCAGGCAGAGGAGGCAGTTATTGATAATATGAACATGCAGAAAGGCAATTGCTCAGGTTCCAATGTCGTTGGGAAGATTGTCGAATAAATCCCAGTGAAAAAGTTAACCTGTCCAGTCAACATGAGTGGCTCAGACCCCTGAGTAACGTTACTGAGGTATTGTGGGTTACAGGAAAATTGGAAACAATTTGAATGTTCATAGAACTCCACAGTTCACAAGGTTGTCTTTAGGGTCTGGTGGGAAGAAGAGATATAGCAAAATCTTTTTCTAAAAAGCATAACTGCATTGATCGTGTGTGAGTGTGTGTGTGAAAGAGAGAGAGAGAGATAGAATAGAGAGAAGGGAGAGAGGAGCAGGAATACAGAAAAAATGGATTTTTCTAGGTGGTAGAATAAAAACGTAAGTTTTGTTGTGTTCTTCTTTAAGTTTTGCTATTTTTTAAGCCAGCTACATGTATAGTTTTTGTAGTGTGAAAAAAATTAAGAAAAAAAATAGAATGATTTAAGGGCAAACTTAAATTAACCTTCCCCCCCCCAACCAAACCAAACCAAAACAAAACAAAAGGGCTAGGAATGTGGCTTAGTGGTAGAGCTCTTGCCTTGCATGCATGAAGCCCTGGGTTCAATTCCTTAGTACCACATACACAGAAAAAGCTGGAAGTAGTGCTGTGGCCCAGGAGTGCTAGCCTTGAGCAAAAGAAGCCCAGATCACTTTGGGATGGGAAGGTGGCTCAGTGGTAGAGCACTTGCCTTGCATGCCTAAGGCCCTGGGTTCGATTCCTCAGCACCACGTAAGCAAAAAGAAAGAAGCGAGAAGTGGCGCTGTGGCTCAAGTGGTAGAGCGCTAGCCTTGAGCTGAAGAGCTGAGGGACAGCGCCCAGGGCCAGAGTTCAGGCCCAATGACTGGACCAAAAAAAGAAAAAAAAAAAAAAGAAGCTCAGGTCCTGAGTTCAAGCCCTGGGACGGGCACAAACAAAAACAACACCTCATTTGCTGAGCTCAGCTCGATTTTAAGAGCCCAGCTGAGCCATGGGTCTGATTGGAGGTTCCCTGTGGCACCTTTAACCATCTGGTTTGGGCAACACAAGCACAGGCCAGCTTGTCTGGGGAAGAGGCAAGTAGTTCCACAGTAGCCGCTCCTAAAGCCACCAGGCTACCTTTTAGAGGCTTTTGTTTTGTTTTGGTGCCAGTACTGGGGCTTGAATTCAGGGCTGGTAGTTAATTGGAGATGAGTTTTATGAACTTTCCTCTCTGGGCTGGCTTTGAACCTCAATCCTCAGATTTCAGCCTCCTGAATAGCTAGGATCACAGGCATGAGCCACTGATGCCAAGGACCAGGGGTGGGGGTGATTAGTCTGTTTTGGGTGTGGGCTTGAGCTTTATCTGGCTCAGAAGTTGTCCATACTGCTCAGTCTGGTGTTCCAAAGCCACATCTGCTCCAGGCAGATAACAAAACACAGACAACTCTGCAGAGAGAATTTGCTTTTGGATTTATCTTCCAAAACGAGCAAGCTCTTTCAACATTGAGGAAGCCCCTTCCTCAACACTCTGCTTTGAATGGTTTAAGATTATGGGTCGGTGTTCTCCTGCTCTATCCCCTGATTACCAAAGTATCTGATCGAGGTGAGGCTGGCACAGAAGTCACCATTCACAGAAGGCACCAGTCATCCTGCTGGGAAAATAGAGCTGTCCTGGCCTGGTGTTGTGCAAGGCCAGGCTGAGCATTAGAGCATTGGATGGGATGGGGGTAGTCTCCACCATGCCGGAAGATGGTGAAGGTCGGGGGAGGGTGTGCTGAGGGGCCAGGGTCTCCCAGCCCAATCCTGGCACATCCACATTCTGATCTGGGATGGGCTGGGTGACTGCTGTAATCCTATCTATTGGGGAGGCTGACATCAGTGGGTCAAGGTTCAAAGCCGGCCTGTGCTGGAACATCCATGAGACTCCTATCTCCAATTAACCTCCCAAAACAGCCAGAAGTGGAGCTGTGGCTAAAGTGATAGAGTGCCAGCCTTGAGCAGAAAAGCTAAGGTATAGCATTAGCCCCACTATAGGCACATATATGCATGTGTGCATGGACACACACACACACACACACACACACACACATCTGTGTTGGCCTGTCCCTTCGTCTTCCAGTCACTCTTGGTCTCAGTCACTCATGCTTTGGTGTAACAGGCACTCTATTAGGATTTTGTAACTCAGGTTGGCCTTGATCTCTCAATCTTCCTGTCCTATCCTTGGTGAGGATCAGGACTTGACTTACCAGACGCATCTGTACACATCCATTATCAAGCAAGGTTCTACCAACTCAGAGCTCTGAGAGACACAAGTAGAAACAATGGCAGAATTGCTCATGCAGTATATTTAAACTCTAGTAAGAAAAGAGGCACAATAAAATGCCTTCAAGTATGTTTAACAGCAGGGCAAGTTCGGTGCGCAGTTTTCAATGAGAAAGGTTAAGAAACTAAATGTATAAACTGTTACAATTCTGTGTAACATATAATTTTGAAAAAAATAGCTATAAATAAAGACTGGAAGGAACTAGAACAACTTGATAGTGGTTGTTTTTAAGTTGTGGTATAATGAGTCATTAATGAGTCACTTTGCTCCCAGTACACTTATCTCTTTTTCTTTATTTCAATGAGGTTTCCCTACTCAATTTCGTATGTGTGTGTGTATATGCATACCCATGTGCAAGCACTGATAATAGGGCTTGGATACAAGGCCTTGTGCTTTTGATTGGCTTTTTCATTCAAGGCTGGTGGTCTACCACTTGAACCAGAGCACTACTTCCACTTTGTGCTGCTTAACTGCAGGTAAGGGTCTCTCAGAGTTTTTTGCCTAGGCTGATTTCAGACCAGTATTTTCAGACTTCAGCCTCCTGAATAGCCAGGATTACAAGCACAAACAACTGGAGCTAGCCCTTTACAATTCTTTTTTATTTTAAATTTTATTTTAAATAATTTTTAAAAATAATTAAAATTGCCAGGTACAGGTGGCTCACACCTATAATC